TCGTCTTTTCTACGGCACGTCAACTCTTTTTCTGCCGTGTTCATCGGGCTGCAGTCTCCCAGTGGAACGTTATAGTCAGGACCGACATGGCGCCTGACTCTCCGCTGGGAGCTGCCAGTTTCTTCGTTCCGGTAGCTCTTTCCACTCACGAGCTCATCATTTCACCGCAGCTCATCTAAACATTTCTTCATCAAAGTCCGGCGCATCAAACGAGCAACTATTACTACTCAGCACCAGTGCCGGCTTTGCATGTCTACGTTTCTACTCTTCGCCTCCGACATCGAACGACCCACTGTTCCGTCGTCGAGCGCCACATCTCGTCTCTTCTCTTCTCGCCTGAGAGCTTCTTCACTATCTTCATCACGGACGTCAGCGTCGAGATCCTTCACCGCTCTTCAGCCACGACTACGAAGCTTCATCTCCGCCTTCAAGCCTCCGCAGCATTCATCGCGTGAGCCCCTTCCTTCGTTTCTCAACTCTCTTCTTCTTCATTGGACTTTCGACGCCATTTCTATTCTGTCGTAAGCTTTCATTCATTATGTACATCGCATTTATTCATGTTCATTCTCATCCTTAATCATTATGTAATCTTCGTGCAATATTCACATTTTCAAGTCTGCTACTTTTGCTTGACTGCACTTTGCAAGTGCATTGTCAGCTTTGTTCAGTACCCAATAAATTAACGAAAAGGGAATACTTTCTTTCATGTATTTTATTGTCAGTGCAACATTGCTTCCTCGTAGCTAAAATAAAAATAAGAGTTATGTTGTGTGACGAGTGAACACGCTTTCAAATATCCATTCACAATACCTCACACTCATATCTCTAAACTTCTAACGCTAATCAAACTAATTGGAGTTTTTTTCTGCCGCCTTTCTATTATAATTTTTAATTTGTTTAATGGAACCTGTGGAGTCAATGACTGAGACACAAAATTAATCAGCATCAGGTATTGGGGCACTCTTTCTATATCACCACTTAAGTTATTGTTTCATTTCAGTATTAGCTTGATTTACCATGTGTACCAGGGACTGCCTCGACAAAAACTTACGGTTTTATTTGCAGTTTCCCCAATTCTTTTTTATTGATTAACTTTATATAATTCCGGTATATTTGTAGAAAAATTGTCAATTTTATGTTTGTCCTCTGTTTATTGTATATTGTATATAATCTGTATTTCATACTTTCATTACAAAAAAATATGGATTTAAACTGAAATAAACTTAAAACTGGAAACTTAAAATTCAATTCAGTTGAAGTTAAGTCCATGCAATATATTTTGAATTTAGATGTTTAGTTCAATTCAATGTATTCATTATCCAGATCAATAGGGAAAATATTGAAACTCACTTGTTAAAAAAAAATGCATGCATGATGAGGCATTAAACATATTTACGAAGATACACAAAACAATAACTAAACAAAAAGAAAAAATACATGAAACACACGAGCTGAAAGATTCAAAGGACATGGTCAAGGACAAAGAATTTGACCATCAATAAGTCCATCATCGTGTGGTCAGAGGGATAACTGATTATTATACGATTATAAAGTAAGCAAGATGAAAATAAGAAAGAGGATTAATTTGGTTAAGAGATTGGTATCAATACAACACACTGTTTCACGCTTTTCCTCTAATGTATAGGATATAGTATAATATGATCATTATATGATTTATAAAATAAGAAAGATGATTAATTTGGTTAAGAGATTGGTAAATCAATACAACACACTGTTTCACGCTTTCCTGGAATTTATAGGATACAGTATAATATTATAAATGAGGCAGACTCTATGTTTAAGCCTAGGTTGTATTAATTTAATATAATTAAGTAAGTAATAATAATTATGTTAATCAAGTTGGTATTTTTAAGTTCTCGTCTAAAAATGGATACATCAACCACCCCCTCCCCGATATAAATTAATCTTAAATTTCATCAAAATAATAACAGACTCCAACAAAGCTTGGGCTAAAGTAAAGAAATTAATTAATCAACCAAACGGCGGGTTAAATTGTATGTTTACGGAATTATTATGCACAATTATAGTCAAGCTCGTCGTTCTGAAAACTAACATTAACAAATGTATTGAGCCCTTATGTTTATATATAACGTGTTGTTGTTTGTGTTTTCTTGCTAATGGTGAGTGTGTATGTCCAAATGTTTCCATTTTAAGTTATATTATGTTGGTCCAACTAACATACCCGTAATTTTTCTATTGTACTTTTGTATATTTATCATGTATTTCATCTTTTGCACAAGCTACGTCTTGAGCATTTCATTGTCAAGTGGATTTTGCCCCTTACAAATCCTATGTATTATTATACAAAACAATGTGTTGGTAGTTTAGTTTAATACCTGTCTTTACTGAAAGTGAAGATTGGCTCCTTATTACAACTGATTTTTAATTCTGTTAACTTTAAGTAAGATTTCCTTGTATTAATGTAAATCTGGATCACTATCTGGGTTATCCAGATAACCCATGCTGTTGTTAATGGTCGTGGTAATGGTTTAATGCCGATTGCGAATTTTCACCGGTGATTGGAGGATATGAGAGGTAATATGTGAGGGCTTATCGTATAAGTGTAAAAGTTGCCTTTCCCTGTCAGCCCACAATCCGACATATGACAAAATTGATTGGACAATAGTTTCCGAGAATCTAAACAATATTACTTTGTGTCTCTCCTTGTTTTGGAACAATCGTCTTACATGAATTTTCAAGACTATCATTTTTCTTACTTTTTTCAAATTGTCAAGACTATCATTTTTACTTTTGTTTAAATTCTAAAGTTGTATTGTTTCACTCGGGTATAAATATTTATTAGACATTAAACGCTGAAGACATACGTTCATTAGCGGGGTTTGCTGTCCATTGCAAGGGAAGGTTGCCACACGCGGGACAGTTTTAAGAAGAAAACAAAAAGAGACAATGGGCCATTATCGTAAGCTAGCATAGTACTAAGATTATTATGTTGTTGGTTATGATCTTGTCATGTAATTAAAAAATAATTTGCGATAATGAATGTCATACAGTACCCTCAATAAAACCACTAATTGCTTGACTTAGGCTCACGAATTGAGATATAATCAAGATAAAGAGAAAGAGAGAGAGATAGAGAGAGTGAGAGAGAGAGAGAGAGAGAGAAAGAGGGAGAGAGAGGTGGAGAGAGAGAGAGAGAGAGATGGATAGAGAGTAGACTGACGGAGAGGAACAAAGCACAAGGTCGATACTAAGAAAAAAAGAGGAAAGTTCACATAGACGGAATGGATAGAAAGATAGAGATAGATAGAGATAGATATACCATAGACGTAATACTATACAGTGCGTGTGAAATAAGTGTATCCAACCTTGGTAGATCGTAATAAAAAAGAAATTACCTACGTGACCTTAATTCATTTTCCATGATAAAGGGTGACTGATATCCTGTCTAATGATGCCCTATTAATAATTGTGCTGCTACGGATGACTGAGCAACACCCTTTTAAAAAAAAGTATTGTCAAAATCCTCTTGTACCAAGTTTGGGATAAAGCAGTGAATGTGGTTCAAAAGCTATTATGTGTGTGTTATCTCATTCAAATAAAAAGCGCCCACTTGTTTACATTGACTAATTAGGCAACTGAAAAGAAAATGTGTTGTTATCATCTCAAACTCAAGGAGATGGTTATTACGAGCAACATTTATGATATTCTCTTCGTTAAGATGATTCTTGACTTAATTTCTCATTCCTCGTTTAAAGGGATAGGTGAGTTCTGTTGCAGAGGGCGCTACACAAAACAATTTTTTGTGAGATAATGAAAACTGAGTGTCAAATTTGAAAGAACATACAATTTAGATGACAAAATCATCTTTGTTTGATCGTAATCGGTTCAGAGACGGCTGAAATATCCACAAATATAACGATTTCTAATTTTGTGTACCACCACAAATATTCGATAATTTGAAAAAACCGTTGAAAAAACGAAATAGCGCCTTTAACGTTGTATTCCAACCAATGCTGATGTTGGCTTTTTCTGTTTGGCTTTTTCGTGTTGGTTATATTACGCACAACCAGCCGGCCCATTTATTGTTAATTTTTAATTAGTTAATTAATTAACGGTCACCGTATATTTTTGGAAGTGGAGCTGAATTGGTATGATGGTAACGACTAAATTTCACACATTTTGGGGTCTAAAATTACCGTCATAGCAATTTTAGGTTCTAAAAGGGTACTAGAAATGTCATAGATAAGAATAACAGCAATAATCATGCACTTTGAAGGCATTTGCGGTCTGAAAACAGAACTCAACTATCCCTTTAAGGTAATTGTTCTCATTGAGTGATATAAAATGGATAAACTTTATTAGGGTGGTAATCTTTTGTTATCAAAGCATTCTCTCAATTTATTTGATACTTATCATCATAATGTTGTTTCTTGCGTTTGGACTTAGTAACCTTGTCATTGCCTGTTCGAGAAACCACCTTAATATGCTCTGACTAATTGCCAATAAGCCAAAACAGAAGAAGAAGATTGGTGCAAAGCTTGCCATGAGACTTTCACAGTCTTTAAAGTCCGTCTGCACTAGTTGGACCAGGGATTAGACCTCCCTGCAAGGTCACTAACACGTGGTTCTAATCAGATCTCAAAAAAACATAAGAATTTGATCATGGGGGACCGACAGCCACCGATTAAACATTGTTTGCTATATAGAGGACGCAAGTACATGTAGCTATTAGTGCAGTGTGGCTTATCCCAAAAAACAAACGATGATGACGTCCACAGGATGATATACTTCTTTTACAACTTAACTCCAGGAGCCCATTCTCTCATTTTCAGATCTCATTGTAATCAACTACATTTTACTCTACGTCCACATTTACTAATATAACCCAGTATTTATATATGATATGACTTGTAAGCGATTTACATAATTATAATCCGTTAAATGTTTGATATTGCTGTGTGTCTTAATCATCCATCAATTTTAATATGAAGTTTCTTTTTTTTTCTTCCTCGCTATAGTTCATCGCCTGGTTGTTTTTCCTGGCTACTCTGACTAGAGCCGAGGACTGTAAGTACATGTCATCGTAATTTTAAGGCGTCGTTAAGATATGAGGCGGTATACCGTGTTTTTTTTAATGATGGCGTACGTGTAAAAGCCCATAGCGTATTTTGCGATCTTCCTGTGATGAGATTTTTTCTTTTTTTTTTTAAAGAAATTTAAAGAAACTTAAATTAGATACGGAAATGTTACACACATCATCTTCCTGGTATAAGTTCTGAGTAATGATAAGAGTAATACAAACCGGAATTGTAATGCATCATACGCCTTCAGTTAGAATAAAAGCTTAATCGGTTTCAGATAGTAAACAATCACATTACTGGTGTGATGTCACTACGATTCTCAACCGATGTATTTGTTTATCCTCCAAGGAAGCTTGAAATCCATTGAAATTCAAATTTGATTTATATGACTATTCATTTATCCATTAATCATTAATATTTCAATATTTTAAATTGTTCATATCAAATGCTATTGTAAATTCTTCCCAAATCAGATGTAGTCAGATCTTTTAGGCTTTATGCTCCATATTTGTGAATATTATACCACAGAGCTCAGTGAATATTACAGTCTCCCCTCTTCCTCTCTATCCTCTCTCTCTCTCTCTCTCTTCATTATGAATCATATATACTATAAGCTGTTAGTTTAGTTTAGATTAGTTTAGTTTTAAGTTTAGTTAATAATAGTTGAGTTAAATCGAGGGCTGCAAGCATTTTAAGCTTCATGCTTTATACGCTGTATCCCTCCTATATCATGTTAATTGTAAAAAATTAGTAATGTTCTCCTATGTATTATCCATGTTCTAAACTATATGAGTATCATGTGTTGTACTTTGAAGCGTAAATTATATCACACTGATGGACATTGTGTATGTTTAAAATATGATATACAAACCAATAAATCAAATCAAATTTGAGTTCTGGTCATGCGATTGCATTGTGAAAGAAACGGTGTGGAACCGACCAGAAAAGGTTGATCATCTAGCATATAAGAATTTGTGTGTATTGCAAGGTTCTGGAATCATAAGAAATTTGGCCAAGTCTTGGTAAAGTTGCACAGAAAGATGTATATGGGACTACATGAACACGTGGCGTAAAAAGCCGGCCCCCGATTTTTACGATGTTACATGCATATTTAGAATATGAAGGCATTTGAAGAGCCATGTTTTTCAGGGAAAATGTCTTAACTGATGTTCTTCCACACTTGCATAATAAGAATGAGTAATGCTCACAGATTATTTTTCACCTCTTCCCAGAACTCAACCTTCTCTTTAAGCTACTGTTATCACATGTATGAATAACCATGATAAACTCATCCCTTCATGAATGAAAACAAATCAATGCCTATATGAAGATTGTGTACAAGGTGGATGTTTGAATGGCATTTTGAGGGTGTTTATATGGCTCATAATTTAGGGGAACGGCAACTGTGATATCTTATTCGCAACCATAAACATTTTTTGGGCGCAGGAAAAATTGAGGAAAAATTATTTCAGAAATAGAAAATGTGTGGATGATGCTTCTGAAGGGCCGAATTTATCGCGGGTTTCTGTTTTTTCTTCTTCTCATCTCCAAGGGGGGGGGGTGGTAAACAGTTTAGCTTAGTATCAACCAACTGCCCCACCCCACCCTCCCCCCCCCCCCATAGAAAGTAAATTAAAAAATAAAATCGTAATGATAGCCATGTAATCAGATCAGCTTTTTTTAGTATCTGCAACTATCTTTCGTTATAAACAAGATTTCAACTTCTTTCAACCTAAGGCAATTTTGATAGCATTGTGCGTCACCTATTGAAAGTGCGTACATAAAGTATTACGTAATCCGAACATGGTTTCTATGGGAAAAACAATAGGTTATTGAAATAGCCCTTGAGTTGATATTACACTCCCTCTAGACACCTACGTTCTCAAAACTCTGGCTCACTTGTTACTCCTATAGGGTTAAAACAAAGTTGGGGGAGCGAACCTTCGCTCATGCTGGGCCTTCATTATGGAATACTCTCCCTCAATGGATTATGAATAGCAGTTCTGCTGAAGTGTTAAAAAACAATCTTAAGAAATATCTGTTTAATTTAGCTTATAATTGATTACCATTACATTTCATGTCTGTACCTTTCCTATTGCACTTTTGTATATATGTATCATGTATTTCATCTTATGCACAAGCTGCGCCTTGAGCATTTGACTGTCAAGTGGATTTGGCGCCTTTTAAATCCTATGTATTGTTATTATTATTATCATATTTCGGAAAAAGTTGCGTTCGTGTTCGTTGAATTTGTGTCTTTTCGTCGTATAATCATCTATATTGGTCCTTTTGATATACGATAGGCCTTCATGCATGGCTGGCTTGACTCCATTCTATCGAGTGAAACACTAATAATTCGCTTTACAATTAAATTGGAGCTCTCTCTCATCTGGTATTCTGCGTCTAGATGAAACAAAAAAGATTAAAACTGCAATTACCATAATTGGATTCTGATTGACATACAACGAGTTGTCAACAATAATCACACTTTTAACCGATGGTATATCAGGTCAAGCTACTATCGGGTTTTAATCGACCAAATGTACTCGCAAAACAAACACCAGTAGAACAAGATATAGCATTTTGCCATGTTTGTAGTCAAGGTCTGTTTGCTTCATAGAAAGTGAAACATGGTTCAGTGACTGCTTCTTTCATATTAAAGATTGAGGTAAATTATCACCACTCAAAAAAATTATGAAATTAAGAATTTTTGTATTAAAAATAATAGGATGAAACCTTGAATATACAATTGTATTTTGATCATAATAATAATCCTTCACAGATTGTCAATATGGGTACGGTGAAATAAGATGAAAAACTCTTTGCAAATGTGTCTCACATCGTGCTCATTGGAATAAATTACCGACTTAAAGATAATCTCAAAGTAGTTAATTCCATTCAACTGAATTGTATTGTATCAGTAATATTTGATTTTGTTGCTTTTAAGCTATTAAACATGTTGAATAATTATACTGACATTACCACTTGTGCGCTTAGAAACGCCTGTATTAGTAGGCGCCCTTTTAATGTAATTATTATCTTTAGTATCATTATCATTATCATTATCGCAATGATTTATTTTGGATTATTTATCCAGCTTCTGCTGTAGATTGATCGTTCAAACCAGAAATTAAAAAAAACTCACAAAACCTTACCGATAACATCTTCGATAAAAACCACAACTCGCATTTGCATCTTTTTGCATCATTACTCAGCCTCTATACATTTTCTAATTAAAAAAATTGGCACATGTCATTTATTGGTAATCTTGAACATTCAGTGTAATTTTCGTTGGATTCTATGAGAATTTATTTTCTATTTTTACACGAATTCAACTTTGTCTTTAAAGGTACTACATGTATGTCACATTCGCAGGGCAAAAAAATGAAAAGGTTAAATTCCAACGGCATTTGAAAGACAATACTTATTTGTAACTTCCCTCAAAACGAAATGGTTTGAAAATGGCTTTTTGTGGGAAAAAATGACCATTAGTTGTCGAATCGACATGTGTGATTACAATCACCTAAGTTATAGTCTGATTTTCATACCCTTGTTACGAATGGTCGTCATTTTTGCTGCACAAAAATTCAATCCGTTTAATTTTGGCTATTACAAGTAGTGGGTTATGGCTTTTTGTGGGAAAAAATGACCATTAGTTGTCGAATCGACATGTGTGATTACAATCACCTAAGTTATAGTCTGATTTTCATACCCTTGTTACGAATGGTCGTCATTTTTGCTGCACAAAAATTCAATCCGTTTAATTTTGGCTATTACAAGTAGTGGGTTATGGATGTAGACAAATGCTTTATGTGTACCTGTTACAGCTTTATTTGTGTCAGTCAGTCACTCAATAGTGTCTGACAGGGAAGTCTAGAAAGCAAATGGGTTTCCTTGCATAGTTTGAATACTAGGAGACTGTTAACTTTGACTTTTCACAAATAGGTCATACATGACATAGTCATAATTCTTGCGAAATTGTACAGAATTTGATGTTGACTGCAAAAGAGACATAGTATCTTTAAATGGGAAAATGATGTCAGAAATGCTACGTGATCTGTTTGTTATTTTCCTCTGATTATTATGCACATCAACCTTGACAATTTTCAACGAAGTGGTAGTCTGTGGATATCTCGTAACTTCGTGCCTTCAAGAGAAGGTCGAGTCCAAGGAGAGGTTGAAAATAGTCTGTTAGCTTTTTCAGTATTCAATGTTCGTGCGGAAGAATATCACAGCAAATTGCTCCCCCCCCCCTCCCTTGAAAGGCAAGGAATAGCTGACGTGTTTGAACCAATTTCCATGCCAAACATTTGTATAGTCCCATTTTTAACAAGCTTTCTAGCGTTTGACTAATCAGGTCATTACCTATATTTGGCTCATTAACTAATTCATAATACAGAAATATGATATAGCATTACATACCGTTCCATATAATATTTTTGTTTTTTATTTAAATAATGATTCAAAATGCTTTTGCGTGTATACCAAATTATCTTTTTGCAGATCCTGAGCAATGCATATCTTTGCGTTGTGTTATGAATCAATGTCTGATATAAAAACAATTGTATTTGGCCTTCAACTAGAAAGTGGATAATACAATTTAAGAAAAGAGGATTACTTTTTTTCGAATATGAACTTACTACAAATTTGCTAAACTCTCCTCCACATAAGAATCTGTAAAGTTAAATTTGTTATAAAATGTAACTTTTGAGTCATTTTCGATCACAAGTTTCTTACGTTCTTCGTTTTTTTGTTTTGTTATATAAAGTATGTTTGTTTACCTCATTTACAATAAGTGCAATACATATGTACGCAAACCAATCTGCTTTATCATATTGGTCTTCCTGTAGCTATCATTCTCATGCTTGAAGTTTACGCTGAAGAATGTTGGCAGAAAATGTAATATTCCCAACACATAACAATAATTCACTCAATCATGCCTTTACGTTTGGATGTGCCCTCATATTTATAAAACATGACGCTCACCTTATTTTGTTGTTTGTTGTTTACTGTTGTCGTTATTGATGTCTAAAGTTAATTGTTTGTAGTTCATTGTTCATTACTGTTGTTTATCGATGTTACCTGTTGATTGAGGAGGCGCGATAGCTCAGTCGGTAGAGCAATGGTCTCGTAATCCGGTGACCCGGGTTCGAAACCAATTCAAGGCGATGCGCTAGTGCCCTTTGGTAAGGCATTAATCCTCACTACCAGGTCCTACGGAGAGGATCTAAAGCCGTCGGCCGTCCGGTTGCATACTTACAAGCATTTATGCTTTCTTACCATCACATTGAATTATCGTTGTGTACTGTTGTTTATTAACAGGTGACGTCGAGAGCAAGAATTGTACCTGCGTGATGCCCAAGCTGTATGATTGTCCCGAGGTGGATCTTAGTCTCAACCCGGTACCAGACGGCTGTCCACTGCTCAATGAGAAACTGGCCGGAACAGACTTCTCTGATCTAACTTGCGGTGGTGAGAATGATACATTCGAACCAATTTCTGGTGCGGTGAGTAAATTCACAATCTCATTAATCACACGTTTTGTATATGTATGGTGGAAAGACGTCATGATACGTCCATATTTGAGCTAAAAGGCATTACAAACCGAAATTTCGACTCACCCTTTCAGTCCAAGAAAAGCAGTTACGTGAACTATGAAGCATATTATTCATATGTGTGTATATTAACATAAACACACACCCACACACACATACACCCAATATGAGCAATGGGTTTATTGTGTAAAAATGTTTCCAAACAAAATTGCATGTTCCCCATTTACCTATACTCGGTACATTTTACCCAGCTTGTCATAATTTTGCTCTTTAGGAAGACGCGTCGAACATTTGAGTGGTAGCATTAAATACATATGGTATATAATGCCTTATATACCCGAGTCTTGACTTAATACTTTCGTCTTCATCAAATTTATGGGTGAACTCTAAAGTATATATACAAACATTATATACATATATACTTTGATGCATAACAATATCATTTTCAAAGTCAAATGATTATTACTTGACAAAGCACTAGGTGAATTTTGTCTTCGTCTACGGAGCATCATATCTGTATATACATGTATATAGATATGTATGCGGTGTGTGGGTGTTTGTGTGTGCGCGTATTTATTTGTTCCTACGATTGGTAGTAGTAGTAGTAGTAGTAGTAGTAGTAGAAGTTGTAGTAGTAGTAGTAGTAGTAGTAGTAGTAGTCGCCGTCGTAGTAGTATTAGAAGTAGAAGTAGTAGTAGTAGTAGTAGTAGTAGTAGTAGCATTAGTAGTAGTAGTAGTAGTAGTAGTAGTAGTAGTAGTAGTAGTAGTAGTAGTAGTAGTAGTAGTAAGTAGTAGTAGTACGATTAGGAGTATAATAATACGAGGAGTGGTAGAAGTAAAGTAGTACGAATAGGAGTGGTGATGTGTTTACATCTACTTTGTAAAAAAAAACATGGCAAGGTATTTCTGATACAATCTATAATTATCTAAGGGAGTAATATATATTACATTTTAAATGAAATATGCTTCAACTTAAACCCACAAATAGCAAAATACTAGAAAAGAACGTGAACAATTCGAGAAGCTGAGTTTATATAGACATGTATATAACTGGGGCAAACAGAAATACAATGCTTGCAAAGATCAAGGTGTGGAAAGATCTTCTTCCCCCGAATTGTACCAATATCGCTAAAATCACGTAAATGCTGTCTATAATTGATGTGTTCTGTCAATGTGTTTATTTTGTGTTGGTGTCGTGGCAACATATTTGTATGGTAACCCGTCATGAATCACGAATCATCATCGATGATTTTGCGATTATACAGTATCGACCATGGATCAAAAAGCTCTGCTTCTAGTTAGTTCCTCTTTTTTCGTGCTTTTCGTATTACATTTGTCGTTTCATGGTATATTTTTTGTAATGTACTTATTCAATGTATTATGTTTTGCATGAGAAATAACAAATTCATTTGAATCATATAAAAAATGGATTACACCTCTAAGTCATCATCACCAACATCATCATCACCATCATTATCATCATCATCATCATCATCACCATCATCATCATCATCATCATCACCATCACCATCATCACCATTACCATCCTCATCATAATCATCATTATCATCATTATCATCACCATCATCATCATCATCATCACCATCACCATCATCACCATCACCATCCTCATCATAATCATCATTATCATCATTATCATCACCATCATCATCATCATCATCACCATCCTCATCATAATCATCATCATCATCATCATCATCATCATTACCATCACCATCATCACCATCACCATCCTCATCATAATCATCATCGTCATCATCATCATCACCATCATCATCATCATCACCATCACCATCATCACCATCACTATCCTCATCACCATCATTTTCATCATTATCATCATCATCATCACCATCATCACCACCATCAACATCATCATCATCATCTATGCGGGAGTGTAGGATATCCTGTAGGTTTCCCGGTCATATCACTTGGTACATATTTATTAAAAGTCTAGAAACCAGTGCATGAGTGGAAGTCAGAAAATGCTATTCCAAAGTGTTTGTCTGACCAAAAAGAATCCAAGCTGGTAGCAGTTAGAGAGTAAAGGTGTCAATTTGTTTGCTTATTTAAGACTTAACCTTATGGTCTAACTGCATTATTTTGTCGTCATGTACATATGTTGATATTAAAAATGAACGAATTTGAATGAAATGAATACCTGACCCCCGTATTACAAAGAGTTGCGATTGAGACAAAATGAATCGCAAATCTTCCAATCAATCGCAGGTTTGCAATTTTCTATCTCTTATGCATACTGTATTTATGCGATTGATATCAATCGCAAATAAGTTGCGGTTGATACCAACTATTTGTGAAACGGGGCCCAGGTTTTTAATATGCAGGGGAGTGGGATGGAGAAATGGTCAAACTTGTTACTGAGCCGACTGTTAAAATTGAGAACCAGAAAATTCGTAATCTTATTATCCTTTTTGTTCAACTGCAAGGTGTAGAGGAGTCGTAGTCGAGTGGTTTAATCATTCAACTGGACATACAAAGGTCATGGGTTCGAGTTCCGGCACGGCAAATATGTCTTGGATCTAGATTTTGTTTGTAAATCCCCATAGCTCCTCTCTACCAAGGTGTTAAATGGGTACCCGGTATAATGCGAACGTCATTGTGGTTGGATTCGCCTGTGCGCGCCCGTAAAAAGGGCGAATTGCTGGAATGCTCCTCGTGGAGAGGAGAATGTGCACTGTAATGTGCAGAATATTATTGAATCAATTGGCCGACCAATAATGTAAGCGCATTTGTGTCAGTTAATGGTAAACCGCTTTAAAGGAAAACAGGTATTATCGATACTGTTGTTATTGTCATTATTACTATTATTACTACGACAAAGTCATTTTATTTTACAAAAAGTCTCTTAAACGTTCTATTAAAAATGTTTTGGTACCGTAGCCTCAGTAAACTAATAGTTGGCACGAAGTTTAAGTCTATCTTCATAATTGATTCCTACAGATATCTTTTACAGCTGATGGTAGATGGCTTGAGTTTGAGAATGAAGCATGCAATGACGAATTCTACTTTATTGTCGATCTTAACGGAGGACAACTGGTAAGAAAATTGAAATTATATTTATATCCATATATACCTTTGAAATACCTTGGAAGGAGGCATTTAAAGTTAAAAACTTATTTGCCTCTCGTTGACATTCGGATGAAGAATCATTTTTTTTGGCACATGTTTAGTGGCGCTATACAGCAATTGACGAACATGGACAAGCGAAGGACTCCTCTGGGTCAAATTGATCTTTTCTTGACGACCAAAATTTCAACAAATTGGATTTATATATGAAAATGAAGATTAAAACCATACTGTTCCATATACCATGTGTTATTATTCGATCGATTTCGTGTAAGATAATCGAGTTAAGAATGATTAACATCAATTTAATACACAAAGCGAAATATATTGTACCTCATATTGTTCCGCCCCCCCCCCCCCTGTATCACTGAGATATGAGAATGATCTGGTTCGATATTTACTTATAAGGAGTTGTCTTCTTCGGATGCATAGAAAGTCACACACAGGACAAGCTTGTTCATCCTGGGTCTGCTATATGTGTGGTTCAGATATGTGATAAGGTGTTCAGGGTTGATTCATAGTTAGATTCTCTTGACGCAGAGAAGTGCAAGTCAGCCCTTTCATGAGTTTGAATGAGTTTGAATGAGTTTGAGTTTAAAGTTTAGTATCCAAACAAAAAGTACATCAATATAACAATCAAATGTGAATGTATAACATTGAAAGAATGAATGGGACCAGAAAATAGCATTTAATGCTAATCATGTCTGGTACAACTAACACACAAAAGTATCACAGCAATGAATGAGAATGCAATTAATAAATATGAATAACAATTGATACAAACTTAATGTCCATTTTACGGATAACTTCGTTTTGGAGATGAATCCACCCAGTTGAGAGTGGATTCTACAATAAATTCTGAGAGTGACTTTCAACTGCACGACTAACTGATCCCCAATAATCCTTAATGAGTGGATTTCCTTTGCCAGATCATTTAGAGAGAAGCTATTATTATGACATAAACTACATTTAGGAATTGTTCCCGGAACATGTGTCCTTTATATAAAGTCGTGCGTGTTGGTCAATTACAGGTGAAGACCCTGAAGATGGAAGACATGAACCCTAGTGTGACAACTGGTCAGAATGTGTCCTTTGAGGTCGCCTATGGCTACACCGTGCCATGCACTGATCAACCGACTCTCAATACCCTTCTCTGGCAGTACATCACACCTGGGGTACGTACTAAGATTGTTATTCTTTTGGCTCATCGTTGACGCAGCTTATTGCACACGATGCGTCAAATTTGCTGGCGTACGCTTGCGTCAGGAGGGTGACATCGTTCATAACTGAGAGCAATATGCAAATTTCTAGCCCCATTAGCATAGCTTCATAATAATGATAATAATTATAACAATATTTATAAAGCGCAAAATATCCATTTCTAGAGATACTCAATGCGCATCAGGAACTCAACATACTTTAGATTGAAGTAATATTAAATTCCATAAGCGCATTCAATAACGCGATGAAAATTACGTTTTGTGCGGAATTGTCCTTCCACATCTGCATGTAATTGTCCTGAAGCTTGATTAACAATTCTCATCAATTGTCATCCAATAAGACTAATATTCAGTTTGGATACGGTATTGCAGGAAATTTGGCCGTATGTGACAGTGTCTAAGTTTTAGTTTATATTGATCTAGGCCATAACTTGCAATCTCATTCTCGTCATCATCATATAAACTTTCAAACCTCAGTCCCACCGACAAACCGACTTCACACCGACCTCAAACCGAATGATTCTCGGCCCTGGCATAGACGTAATGGAATATTTTCTTATGGTCTGGTATCGGTCTTGTGTCGGTCTGGTATCGGCTTGGTGTCGGTGTGATTTAAGTATTAGTTTGTTGGCATTAATGTGTCCATGTAGCTGAGCACAAATTATCAATCCGTAACAAAAATGCAAAACTCCAAAATAAAGTCATTCTGAACCACTTCATTGACATTATATTCACATCTGCTTTTTTAAAACAACAATAATCCTCGGGTTGCATGCTTACGCTGTAGCCCCCTCTACCATATTTATATAATCCATATTGATTACGCAATCACTCATGTCATTAAATTTTGAACCATTTCTGTACATGTACTCTATTAAAAGAAAAATAACATCAATACCACATTAAAGCGCCCGAGTATGTATGTTTATTAAACATGATTCATATACAGTAGGCTTGCGGATGCACCGTGTGAGAGAGAGGGAGGATTAGGACCTGAAAAGGACTCTCGGTAATCTTTCTTGAGGGTGTGTAGTCCTGAAAAGGACTGTTGGTGTAGTCATGGTAGATACTAAATAAGGCGAATTATATCATACTGTTAATTGTTTTCTAATGACAGTGGTATGCCTCCGATGCGGATATCACGAAGGTTTGGAATCGTCTGAACTTCACGAATGGTGCCTTCGGTCAGGTTGAAGCCACGTACTTCAAGGCTTCTTACCTCTTTGTCCACTTCAACCATATCCCAGTCAACAGTCGATTCAGATTGTCTGTGACCGGATGCCATGAGACAGGTAAAGCATCACTCTTCTTTTTTTTTCTTTTTTTAATAATCTGTCTCCAAATTTTATTAAGTTAAGCCCGGCAGCCAGATCGACGTTGCTCTATCCCTTATTGATGAACGCCAAACAAGGTAGCAACAACTCCCGTCTTTTAACGTCTGTTGGTATGACGCGGCCGGGGTTCGAACCCACGACCTCCCGGTTGTAAGGCGGACGCTCTACTGACTGAGCCATCACACCTTTCAGCTTTAGTACAGGAACAAACAGAAACAAAATACATAAGTATTCATCCATGTCAATCCTTATCAAGCATGTGTATGCTTGTCAGTAAGCAACCAGGGGTCCTCTCCGAGGGACTTGATAATGACGACTGATGCATTGCCAAAGGGCACAAGCACATTGACTTAGTTTCGAGCCCGTGATCTCCCGGTTACGAGACCACTGCTCTTCCTCTGAGCCATCGCACCTCCTCAATCCCTCGTTCATGTCTTTTCAGGGAAATGAAGGGGTGGGGAGAGAGAAGGAAAGAAATAGAGAGATGGGGGTTAAAAGTGTGAGAGAGAAAGAGATAGAGAGAGAAGAAATAGTAATGCAATAAGTTATATTACCCGGAGAACCAAAAACAGCATCCTTGCTATTCATTCTGAGGGCATCGCAATTATTATTACTCCAGCAATTATTGTCAGGTAGTATTTATTCCTCAAAGTTCTTCTCAAAGTTCCACGTACACGACTCCGGATGTACGGTGATCGTGCCTTCTCTTCAGTTGCTCCACATCTGGAACTCCCTCCTATTCTTCGCGACACCGACAAGCTACAAAGCTTGAAGTCAGGCTCAAACTCCATCTTTTCAAGCAAATATGTAGTCCATGACTATTGGAGGAGCGGCCCCCATTGAATGTTTGAAACAGATAAATGGCGCCATACAAGTGCTGTGGATCATCATTATCATCATCTTACTAAAGGACGTTAGTGCAGGGTTAGGATTCGAACCATAAAACCTTGGATTGGGAGACAAGTGAATAAACCGATACCTACACACCCGACGGGGGAGAGAAAGGAGGTAGGGAAAGAAAGATGGGGAGAGGGAAACATAGTAAAGTTGGAAAGAGAGGGGATAATGGGATGAAGGGTGCAGATGAGGATTTGAAAAGGGACAAACATTAATGAAGGGAAAATAACATGAGCGAGATTGAGAGAGAGAGAAGGGATATGAGATAGTGGGGTAAAACGAGATTCAGTGAGAGTATGGGAGAGAGAAGGGGAGAGAAGGGGTAATTCGAGATTCAGTGGGAGTATGGTATAGAGAAGGGGAGAGAGAATGGGGTAATACGAGAATCAGTGAGAGTGTGGGAGAGAGAAGGGGAGAGAAGGGGGTAATTCGAGATTCAGTGGGAGTATGGGATAGAGAAGGGGAGAGAGAATGGGGTAATACGAGAATCAGTGAGAGTATGGGAGAGAGAAGGGGAGAGAAGGGGGTAATTCGAGATTCGGTGAGAGTATGGGATAGAGAGGGGGAGAGAGAATGGGGTAATACGAGAATCAGTGAGAGTATGGGATAGAGAGGGGGAGAGAGAATGGGGTAATACGAGAATCAGTGAGAGTATGGGAGAGAGAAAGGGGGTAAGGAGAGATTCAGTGAGCGTATGAGGGTAAATTGAAGGTATCCTATTCACATAGTCACCATGCATTGATTTTATTACATTATTTTGTACCTGTTGTTATGAACATGATCGCGAGGAGTTCCAAAAACTTAACTTTTGAAATGTGCCAACAATTACAATGTCATATTTTGTAACCCGAATATGATTTCTACGGTCAATCCAATATGGTCTAGAAATTGCCTGTAAGTTGATTTTTTTCAAAACTTTGCGATCGCGGTCTTCTTATTATTTGTTTGATACTGATATTAAATCATATGATGTTTATCTTCTAGGCAAGGACATTGCCCCAGCCCTCGAGTACCTCAATAGCCTGGTAACGGTTACTCCTTCTACCTTATATCCCTTTATAACCTCATTTCTATCATTTACCAAACTGGATTGAATGTTTCTACATGTAATTCCAGATAAAGCTCTAGCCAAAACGCCACAAGTCTGTAGTCGTTTTGCTTTCATGTTTCGTTAACAGCGATTTTAGGATATTAGTTGGATTGACATGTGAACGAAGTAAAAAGAAAAAAAGAAGCTTTGATCAGATTTATGGTCGGTAGTCTCACCAAAGTAATGGGTAGCGAAACTGAACCCTAACTGTTTTACGCTACAGTTCTAGACACTGTTTGGCACTTAAACTGAACCCAGCAATATTCAAGTAGTGTACTCCGTATACATTAATTATTCAATTTCTATCTCTCACCTGTTCAGACATATGATTTGCATGATTTGAATCTGTCTTTGTTTAGTGTGAGTTTTGTGTGATATGTCAATCACATGTGTGCTTTTTATTGCAGTAGTTAGAATTGCACATTATGACATCTTGATGTGTTATTTATAGATAGAAATAATGTTTGGTGCCTATCAAAGCATGAGCTTAGAATCAATTTGTCGTTTTGATTATCAGACTTCTTTCAGCGTGTTGTTGTGTGCCGTTATCAAATACTTGACAAGTTACCTTTTTTTAACGTTGGTGTCTTGTATCGGTCACTGTTTGTAATATCTGGAGACACATTTCACATATTTCAGCATATATTCTCTATGTTATGTATTAACTATCCTCATACTGATTGTACTCTGGCCGTTGGCTACCCTCTGAACATATCTATACTAGAATATAATGTATATTTAAAAAAAAATTAAAGAGTCGGTAAGTATTATTTTATATGCTACACTTTCATATTCAAAATTAAACAGGCTACTAAAATTCTAAAGAAAAGGAAGAATTGATAATAAAAATGACTCAAGTTATTCAATAATAGTTCATCATGTTAAATGTTTGAGTATTTGATGTCGTACCTTCATATATAATTATTATAACGTTATTACATTTTGAATGGAAAAAAAGTAATTTACTCAAGAATCATCGCTTATTTACAAGTCGCCCCTTTTCACCACAATACGTTTCTCCAATCGCGATGATCATCATGACAAATGGGTCATTTTAGCAATTCAAATGATATTCACATCTCTATGCATTGCATTATGGTAGGAAACTACAATCAAAATACTGAGCGACGCTAGAAGACGTTGCCATGACACCCGGTGTCATAGTAACTGGTAATACCAGAAGTGGATAAGTGCATTAAGCTGATTAGATTGGATGCTTGATCGGTAGCAATCGTTAGAGCAAGAAAAGGACACACTACAATGATTTTATCTTCTTTATCGAAACCTGCCATTCTCGTCTATTTTGCCTTGGTCATTATTCATTCTAATTTGTTAATTTCCTTTATCGGGATTATCATCATTAAATCATGACAGCGACACTTATTGGTAGGGCGGTCGATATGGATGAAACCGGGTTCTTATGAAGTAGGTAGATCCCTTTTTGTATAATGAAATAAGATCTTTGAGATTAAAACACTGGCCTGAAAGGGGTATTTGCTCGAACTAATAGGAAGGTTAAGGTATATCTCAAGGCACGATCGAGGCTCGAACTTTTGTTACGCTGCAACATTCTGAAAAGTACAGTGTCAGGCAGGGAGGTGCTAGTTGCACGTTTTGGATACATGTAGATTGTTAATAATTAATTGTTAATTGTTAATAGTAATTGTTCTCTTCAACTAAATTGAATAGGAATTACAGAATTAGTACAACTTAATTCAACCCCCCCCCCCCCCACCCCCGCTACCACCACATTAGGTTGTGCCCTTTATCATTTGTAAGGAATACCATTGCCTGATGCATATTGAGCTCCTTAACGCTGTCTTCTTCTTTTCTCTTCTCTCTTTCTCTTTCTCCATCTCTTTCATCCATATCCTCATTTGCTTTTTCCTTCACTTTGTCTTTATCACTTCTCTGCGGTTATTCATTTTCCCCCATATTTTTTCTTGATTTTCTATTAATTTTTTCTTCTAAACTCCTGTCTATTTCACTTTTGCAACTCTCTCTCTCTCTCTCTCTCTCTCTCTCTCGCTCCATACACCCTCCAACACACCCCTCCCCCTCCCCAAATTCTCTCCCCTTTCTCCGTCTGTATTCCTCATTTCTCTTTCTAAATCTCTCAACTTTTTACCTCCTCATTTCTTATTTCTAATATTTACCGATGTTTTCTCTCTTCTGTACTATCACCTTTTAAAATCATTGTTCACCCCTCTTCACTTGTACTGTTACTAATTTATCTAATTTCTTGATGAACATTCTTGGTGCTTCGTGTGTCTGTTGTTACTTTATTCTTAATCGCTGTCACCTCCCCCTCCCCCTCTCCCTATCTCCCCCCCCCCCCCAATCTCTCTCTCTCTCTCTCTCTCTCTCTCTCTCTCTCTCTCTCTCTCTCTCTCGTTCCTTCGCTGTCTTTCTGGTCCATATGGTCTATGTGATCTACCTACGTATTGTCATATCTTCCTTCTTTCTCTTTCTCTCTCTCTCTCTCTCTCTCTCTCTCTCTCTCTCTCTCCCTTTCAGCTAAGTGTGACCAATGACACGTTGGAGATCGTACAGGGCATTGCAGTGTCTGGGACTGCGATACAATCGGAAAATAATCTTACTGATGATGAAGTGGTCCTGTTTCTCGATGCATTCGCGTCCTTCGAGGGTAACTCCCTTGATCTGTCTAACGAGCCGGAGGAAGCACAGAATCTAACAGATGTAAGTGTTTTCGCTTTAAGCTACTTCTGCGATAATCTTTAAAACGAAATATAAATTTTAAAGAAAGATCTTTGTATAAAACGTCATGATATTTGAATATGCCCCAGTGTCGTTCTCTCTGCTACAAAATGAATAGAAATACACTGCCTTGAAGTGCTAGTATAAACAATGGAGTAAAAATTGGCGTATTAGTACTATTTTATTACTATTCATTCCATTTCGGAGGTCGATACTCCATAGCTTTAGTTGGTGTCTCGCATTACGGTAAGTTTTTTTGTTTGTTAATCCCCGCCTTCGAATCCTTATTTTACCATGCGTTTAGTAAAATAAGAAATTCTGAGAATTTATGACGTCATGAAATTACGTCATTTTCAACTGAAAGGTGGAATCACAAACCCCCTCTGCCTTTTATCGCGATGGAAGCCTGATCTCGATAAAAATGGCTTTTTTCTGCAAGAGTGGAAAACGATCTTGATCGACGCCACAGCAATGAAAAAATAGGTGGTATTCCAGTAAAAACAAAAAAAAATCAAGAATTATCATGTGAATTACTCCCAATTTTCAATAATGGATTTGAAACAACAAGCATTCTGTTCTCGACTGTACAGGATTAAAATCACTTAATTGTTTGCACATAGTCGTTCCGAATATTTATTAATTCATCTCGTATGTAAATCTATGTTGACTCAGATTCTACAAACCAAATGTGTTCACGTATTGTTGATGATGGTATTATTATATTTTTTGTTTGGATTCAACACATTTACCTTGCATTGAGCATACAAATTGGAATGACTAATTTTCGTTTGGTGCAGAAATTATCGTTATTATTCATTGTGCTTAATGCAATATTTCGTTTTTACGCTGACAAAGTCGTTCTTACATATACAAATTATTAGCGTGTATTGAAATGAATTGTTTTGTTCATTCCTCTGCGTGTTGGTGTCAGGGTTTTGCTGAAGTTGCTTCCAAGGTTTTGAGTTCTATCACGTTTGTCAGCATACCACTAGAACATGTAAGTAACTATGGTAACGTACACAACAGTTCGTGCCCGATTGAATCGAGTTGGGTGGCTTATTGTGCGAACTGCTTTTAAATCATCTATGTGGTCGTAGACTGAGGTGCACTGCATTTACTGAAAATAACATTGTTCATGATGCATGTATTACTGAGCAAATAAACGTATGAAATCTAAAAGGTTTTCATTCAAGCAAAATTTGACAAAAGGGTTTAGTTAATTTTTAATCACAATGGGTAAATTCGAAATTGTATTGAATGCATTACGCATTGTACTTCATTTTTTGTTTAAACTGATTTAATTTTCATTGTTTCTATTTCGTTTTGCAAAACGTACATAGACGATATTGTTAAGCCCAATGTATGATATACATTTATTTGTTTTAATAGCCGTATAGAGTGTATTTCCTTTGTAAATGATTCCGCAGTTCAGTCAAAAGTCGTTATTTTTTCGGCCAGTTTAACGTTCTCAACTAAACTTATGCGAATCACTCTAATATTTTGAAAAAAATGGGTTGCGCGTATACGTTTGCCTCTTTCATGTTCAACGAAATTCGATTAAAAGGAAGCACGAGAATTGAGCCGGGTCTCGAACTCGCAACCTCGTTATTGAATGTCACAGGGGGGGGGGGCTGTTTCATAGTGCCCCTTCAAAGTAATGTTTTTTGTTTGTGCTTTAGACTCTTTTATTCGTGCAGTGTCTACGTGTACAACTGACTGTTTTTATCCTTCTGACTAATAACCATGTAAGAATCCGAAAATACTTTTAGGTTCTCTCTCTCTCTCCCTCTCTCTCTCTCTCTCTGTTACATATATTTATACTATCTCTATATCTGTCTATATATCTATCTATTGATTTTCTATCTGTCTATCTATCCCTATCTCTGTATCTTTCTCCCTTCCCTCCTTTTCCATTCCCAATTTTCATTCTCCTTCCCCCATCTCCCCACTCACCCTCTCTCTCTCTCTCTCTCTCTCTCTCTCTCTCTCTCTCTCTCTCTCTTTCTCTCTTTTTCTCTTTCCCTTCCCAATCGCTTTTATCTCCCCTCTCTATCTCCACCCCTCTCTCTCTCTCTCTTTCTCTCTGTCTCTCCATTTCCCTCTTCCCCTTTCTATCTTTTTCTCAGTCTGGAGGTGTACACAGCACCGCCCCGTCAGGGCTTTACACAGCAGGAGCTAACGAACATACAACGTCGCACAATGCTGATAAACGTGTTGCTGACCAGCAAGCCCGGGCCATCCTGGCCATCGAGCAGGCTATCGGAGTGGTCACATCTCGTGCTGGCAATGCCACTATCATCGCGAAAACAGAGAATCTCAGTAAGTACATCACTCCATATCAATAATGATGATGATTGTGGTGATGACGATGATGATGATGATAATGATGACCATGGGAAGGTGTTGATGATTGTGAAGATGATGATTGTGGTGGTGATGATGTTGGAGATGATAGTGGTGATGATGATGATGATGATGGTGATGATGATGATGATGGTGATGATGATGATGATGGTGTTGATGATGATTGTGGTGGTGGTGATGATGATGATGATAATGATGATGATGATAGTGGTGATGATGATGATTGTGGTGATGATGATGATGATGACGACGGTGGGAAGGTGGTGATGATTGTGATGATGATGATGGTGATGATGATGATGATGATGGTGATGATGATGATGATGATGATGGTGATAATGATGATGGTGATGATGGTGATGAGGATGGTGATGATGAGGATGCTGATGGTAAAGATGATGTTGACAACGATGATGAGGATGATGATGATTGTGGTGATGATGATGATGGTGATGGTGATGATGGTGATGAGGATGATGAGGAGGATGATGATGATGATGATGGTGATGCTGGTGATGGTGATGATGATGATGGTGATGGTGATGATGGTGATCAGGATGATGAGGATGATAATGAAGATGATTGTGATGCTGGTGATGATGATGATGATGATGGTGATGATGATGATGATGATGATGATGGTGATGCTGGTGATGATGATGGTGATGGTGATGATGATGGTGATGAAGGTGATGAGGATAATGGTGATGATGATGATGATGATGGTGGTGGTGATAATGGTGATGATGATGATGATGATGATGACGACGACGATGATGATGTTGATGATGATGGTACTGATGGTGATGATGATGATAATAATAATAAGAAGAAGAAGAATAGTGTAAACATATAGAACGCACGCACCGTCCAGGGACGCTCATGGCGCTAGCTCAGCAACAGTTCTCTTTAATTCAAGTAAAGTAAATTTTTATTTGATACTAGAGTCATACTATCAGAAACTCAAAAACAATTTTGCAACATTTGTGTCACCCATTTCAATCCGCAGCTGATGATGATGATGATGATGATGTGGATGATAATGATTAATGATTAATCACACACTCGGTGTTTTGTTCATTTTAAAGTCATTGAGTCTGCTCCTTTGCGTGTTACCGATACCACGGAGGTTCAGTCCATCACCCTTTCCTCGGGTTATGGGAACGAGGAGGAAGACGCTACGGTGCAAATAGGAGTGGACTTATCAGGAATAGCAGAACTTCTTAGTCTCCCAAGGTCCTCAAATGATAACAGATCATCCGTTCCAGGTAAAGAAAGGACTATAAATTTGAAATAATGTATCATAGAACAATTAATTCAACTTGGATAATCCTCCGTAATAAAGTTATATACAAATAATGATTAAAACAATTGAAATAAAAATCCTTGAGGCTTGAGCGTTCACTTCTGCACTATGACCGGTTTCAATTTTATATCTTCAGATAGTGAATTCAAAATTACAAACATTGCAACTAAATACATGTACAGTATATACAAACACTGTGCATAAGTGCTTTGCGCTAAAATGGCGCTTTGTTGGCAATATAGTTATGCACAATTATGTATGATTATTCTAAGAGAGAGGAGTGAAAGACAGATACAAATATAGCATTAGAAAGGGAATAAAGGGAGAGAGAGAGTTTGAGAGAGAGAGAGAGAGAGAGAGAGAGAGAGAGAGAGAGAGAGAGAGAGAGCCGATATTCATGGGTTGGTATTTGATCTCATACAATGCACTATTTATTTAATTTGTGTGATATTCTAAACTTGTAGAAGACGTTCTTTTTCATGATTATTTTTCTATTAGTTCGCTTCACCGCTATGCAAATTAAAACGGACAACTTTCTGGAAACAAATCAAAATACAGATTTCCGTTTGTCAGCTACTGCAAAGTAAGTGTACAACCCAAACATTTATCCAAAAGTAATCTCTTGTATTCTACCTTCTTCATCTAAATGGTTCTAGGAAAGCTATCAACCCGTGATATATGCACACTCCCTTTTTTAAATGAATATTTTATCTCTCTCTCTCTCTCTCTCTCTCTCTCTCTCTCTCTCTCTATGGCAAGTCACTCTCTCTCCCTTAGTACGTTGGGGGTCTAGTTAGACTGAGGGCTGCAAGCAAATTAGGTTTCATGTTTACGCCGTAGCCCTCCTATATGTATTCATTATGCATTCCGTGTGTAGCTAAATTTCTTACAGTTTCTTTTCAATGTCAAGGGGGGTGTATCACGAATGAAGATGAATCAAATGTCAACATCACATTAATGCACATGAATATGCATGTTTAAAAAGATGGTATAGAAATCAATAAATATATTATCAATTAAATGTCTGGGTAGTTGAGGTAATTTTGAAGAGGTAGCTGTCTACTGGTACTTGCCCCAGGGGACAGTATATTTTGTTATTTGCTGAGGAATGTTTGTCCTGAGATATTTACCATCACTAGCATCATCATCAAAATCTGATTCATTATTATCATTACCATCATTATCATCATCATTACCATCATCACCATCATCATCATTATTGTCATCATCACCATAAATATCATTACTATTTCCTTCTCATCATCACCTTTTTCATCATCATCATCGTCATCATCATCATCATCATCATCATCATCATCATCATTCTCATTATCACCCTAATGACCATCTTCTTCATCATCATCATCATCATCATCATCATCATCATTATCATCATCATAAATGGATACCTAAAGTCATGAGTGCCTAAGACTTTGATTATTGTTATTTGTTGTATTTGTTCTTTTTTGTTGGTATAATAGCAGCGACAAAGAGGAAGCAATATCTAATAAGGTCTTTCTAAACTCGGACATCCTCTCCTTCACTGTGTACTTTGATGGTGTACCCCAATCTGTCCCTATTGAGACTAGCTACACGAACAAGGCGGTGAGTTAACCCGTGCTTCGATCGATGCCACAACATTAACCTTTCCTTTGCCACCATTGCCGATATGCACAGTCACCTGTTTGCCTCGCTTGCCAATCAGCACTAAACAATATGTATCAATTAAGAGAAAGATCTCTCCGTGCATCGCAAAATGTTTGCAAATTTAACTATTTCCAGTCACTATTATAGCTACACTTTCATCACCTGTATGCCAATATCAAAACCTTTAAATAATCTTGAATCCTTTAGAATATTTATCTCATAGGAAATGGCATGAGTCACAGGGAGATCATTTAAATGGCACAATGACAGTTAAAATCATGATGTATATTTAACGAGCTGTTTATGAAAAGGATAAACAATTCAGATGTGTATTCGGTTTATTAAGGGAATATTATATGATACTTGTATATCCCCTGGCCGCTGGATGTCAACCTTGCACACAAATGTACACCATCTCCACTCTTTGCACTATCCACATAGCATGCATACAGGGCAATGGTAAAGGCAGTCCTTTACCATGGCGATGCGAAAGACGTTACGTAGTTTTTGAATGAACTTGAATTTATTAACAACAACATTACACAATGTTACAAATGTATTCAATTGGGTAACAAAATATCACGTCGTATTCATATCCATGTACATGAGTTACAAAGTAAAAGAAAATATCCATAGTTGAACCATATGTACAAATTAAGTTAATCATAATCATGCCATATCAAACCTGTGATTAGTGACTTATTAATATATTTAGAGATTTGTGGTTCGAATTGAAAGTCACAGAGTTCCAATAGCGTATAAGTGATTCAAATAAAGGATATTTTTAAACTTAAAAACTTAAAATGTGGTTAAAGGGAGAACCAAAAGTTAGCAAAACCGAAAGTTAGCAAAAGTTAGTTATGGTAGTGATGGCAAATTTGATGATATAGGGGTATAAAGATTAACTAGATAAAACTGATGCAATTATAAAATTGTAACAGAATTCTTTTGTCTGTGCAGAAAGCAGATATCCTCTTTGAATCTCTGCCAAAATTAATTAAAATTAATGAATTAGTGAATAATTATATTCATATTGTTTTATCACTTTGTTTGATATCTGATAGGATCTGAACCCGAAGGAAAACGCCACCTATCGCCGCAATGAGAGCAGCACGTGTGTCTGGCTAACCGAGAACAAGTGAGTTTTGTGTTTGATTGTTGGTTGGTTGGCCTAGTTTAGTTCTTTTTTGTTTGTATGTATGTTTGTTTGTTATTTTAATTTGTTTGTCTTTTAAATTGCTTCTCCTTTAACGACCTTTAGTGACTTAGTTCGCTACTGCGATTCGAGGGTGTCAAAAGCAGGATATAAGATGCTATAAAGCTCTTAAAAGCGGTATCAGAGAAGCTCAGAAGTCCTTGTAATTACCTAATGATCCAATTGTTTTCATCATCCTCTAGATGCACGACGTGTTTAAAAAGTGACATTTTATGAATCCGTTATCAATACAGCATTTCCATTTTCGTTTTTTTTTTTTATAAGAAGTGATATTGATAATGAACACGGGAAAAGAATTCCAATGATGATACTTCATATCATAGGATATAGATTTTATTCCAATAAGTTATTGGTTCCAAGTTTATCTTTGTCACCTCTTCCCGGCACCTCTTGCATCTTTTCTTTTTTCTTGTTTACATGTTTCATTTGTTTACCTTGTCTAGGCGTTGGAGTGATACAGGATGTATCGCCACCAGCCAGGAGGATGTCTCAACGACTTGCTCTTGTGGACATACTACTAGCTTTGCCGTTCTGGTCCAAGTCGTTGAGTTTGAGGTATTAATTCAATTCAATTCAATTCAATTCAATTCAAATTTATTGGTCAAAAAGAAAATTTGTTGCGTTTATATGCATTATAATATTCACAGAGAAAAATTAATATAATGTACATGTGACATGATACATACAACATAAAACGAGTATATAGAGAGGATAATTAGCACTTTAACTTTCACATTACATAGATATTTTCTCTGAATTTACATTATTGACAATATTATTTCATGTATCCAGAGTAATCACCAAAACACTATAACATTGTAATTATTATTACTATTATCATTATTGTTATCATTATTATTTGTATTGTTATAATTATGAGTTTGAATAATTACATCGTTATGTCAATAAAATATTAACCTATCGTCTCATTATAGGCAGGTCTCTTTGAAATGTCAATACTCTTCATTGAAAGGGCAACCCTGTATAAAGAAGACTTAAATAGATAAATGAATAAAGGAATCAGTCAATCACTATATAAATGATTAGATATATGAATGAATGAATAAATGAATACATTAAAAATATATGATAAAACAAATACATAAAATTATGTTATAAAATTATAAAAAGATAAAAATGAATAATAAGATTGTAATTAAGAAGGTGGATCATGAATATTAAAGTTAAATCAACTTTAACTTAGTCAACTGAATTATGGAGCGAAAAGTGTCAATCTCTATTCTGAAAAAGGTTAATTACGTTTATGACTAATTTTGTTTAAAAAATGATAAAATGAAATTAATTCAGTTATGAAAAATCATTACATGATTTTGCTTGTTTGTTTAGTGACAAAAATTGAAGAAGTCATCACTTGGCAGTCTATAGATGAATGGACTAACTCTGCCCGTTTAGTTGGGGTTTAACCAAATTAAAGTTATTCTAGTAGTAGGCTTTTAGAGAATACAGACCTCAGATATTTTAGCACTATATTAAGAAAAACAACATCAACCAGTATAGGCTTAAACATTCTAGTCTGGCCCATTTTTCAAATTCCTTGAAGATTTTATCATTTTCATTGCATCATTCAATTACATAATTATCTTATTATTTGTATTATTATTTTCATTAGTAGTATTATTATTGTTGGTATTATTATTATTACTACTAGTAGTAATATTATCATTATCATTTTTATCATGACATTATTATCATTTCTGTTATTATTATTACTATCAATTTATCATAATTAATATTGTCATCATTATTATTTATATTGATCTTGTTTTGTGGGTAATTGGTATTTACTTTTTACTCCTAGATCAGCAAGGCTGATGACCTGGCGATGACTATACTCTCCTACTTTGGAATCAGTTTATCCATCTTGTGCCTCGTCATAGCGCTCTTTATCTTCTTTACTGTAGGGTAGGTCGAACTCATAATATTCCATCTCATCTACACTGAAACAAGGGAGAAGGTTATTCTGAGTAATGTCCACCCAAGAACTTCCGTCAAAATGTCCACACAGATCATTTTGACGACGGATAGTCAACCTGTTCGAAACGTCGAGCCACTCCCGCTACCCATCTTCTCCAAGCGCTATAGTTCTCCTCAGAACTATAAGCTAAGAAAGATAACCAACAGTCTTTTTCAAGACTACACCAAAAGTCCTTTTCAGGACTACACACCCTCAAGAAAGATTACCGAGAGTCCTTTTCAGGACTCCTTAATCCTCCCTCTCTCTCACATGGTGCACCCGCAAGCCTACTGTATATAGATCATCTTGTTCGTTTACCAACCATATCACCATACTTGCCAAACTAAAGCTATTACTCAGTTTATCGTGTTGTAACAAATATGTGAAATATACTCGGTGGCATGGTTAGTTGTAACAAATGCAAAAATTTTGTGGGGATTTTTTTTCTTCAAAGACGGTGACGAACTAAATACAATTTTAAAATAGCTAAGACTTTTACGCAAAGGTGCGGGAGCCTTGTGTTAAGGCTCTCTACTCTCCCGGATTCGAACCTTGCTTGTTCGGTGCTTACATCTCTTTACAAGGTACATTGCCCACGTTTGCCTCTCTCAACCCAGGTGCATTGAAGGGTGACTGGCAATAATAATCACAGAGGACTCAGTAAGAGCAGAATATTTAACTAATGAAGCTAAACAAATAAAGACCATATCATTATTTTGTATCCATATTAATACTATTATTATACTAAAATGAAAGAAGCATCGCTTTGGCGATGGTTATCCTATTATCTAGAAACTACTCCAAACAAGTAGAAGAGACATACTTTCCAACAACAAAAAGACACAAGGAAATAAGAAGCCAAAGCCAAAAGCAAGATGCATTTACTCCTCGACCAATGATTGTACATCATAAGCTTACCGCAAACTGTACGATCTCCTTACAATCAGATGTTTCGAAGAAATTGCAATCTTGATAAACATCATCTTCGTGAGTTAGGTTCTAATTAATAAGAATATACCAACAGCCAAAATATTAGTGGATTTAGTCCTTCTTAACAGAATAAAAGCAAAATCTGCTTGAAATCGTAAACAATCGCACTACTGATGCGACATCATTACGATCCAAGGCGCATGAATTTTCCCCATCTGAGGAAGCTTGAATTCCCTAAACGAAAAATCTTTTTTTCATTCATAACAATTCAGATCCACAATCATTAAGATTTTACAGGTTTTGATGTCCATATCAAATGCTATTGCAAATTCTTCCATGTCTGATCGTAGTCAGATCGTAGTCAGATCGGATCATATCGTATACGGTGAGCTTTATCTTACGTAACTTTGATTTCAGAGCCCTACGTACATCTGAACGCAATATGATTCATCGCAACCTGATGATCGCTCTACTCCTGGCCTATGTCGTCTTCTTGGGAGGTATCCAATACGCAAGGGTCATTCCAGTAAGTACATTCCTTATGAATACACTCTTACTTATCATTACTATTCTTGTAAAGTGGAAACAGACACGCTTAGGTCATCCCAGTATTCTTCATGAATGCTCGAATACTTCCGTATAGTATAATAGCTTGAATCAACCAATGTAGGTAATTCCAGACTTTTCCAGTAAGTATTCTTTACGATCGCTCGTATACTTATCTATAGTCATTCCAGTATTCCTCGTGATCTAAGCTTCAATCAAACAATGTAAAGGTCATTCCAGTAAGTTTTCCTTACGGTCGCTCTTATACTTACTTATACTCACTTATATATTCTTCTTAGCTTGATTCCAGACATAAAACGAGGAAATAATGCGATATTCCCAGCCATCATGAAGGTTAATTGAAATCGAGGTGTTAAGAGCTATACAACATGTCAAAACGATAATTATCTTTGTCGTATACTTTATTTATTAATCATTTTAATTACAGATTGTGTGTACTTTTGTAGCAGCCTTCTTTAACATTTCCACCACCTTGCACTTTTTGATTTGATATTTATCTCAGAGACAGTAGCTTATGATTGCAATTAAAGGCCATGTGTACCTTTCACTTTCTGACTTTTATTTATTAATCATTTTAATTACAGATCATGTGCACCATTGTAGCAGCCTTATTACATTATCTCTACCTTGCAGTCTTTGGTTGGATGCTGATCGAAGGCATACATCTTTATCTCATGCTTGTCAAGGTACGAACAACTTGCAACTCTTTGACTACTGATTTGCCTCATTTTTGTAAAGGCCTTAACACGCAGGAACCACCCTTTTCGAGTAGCTAATGGGTAACAAAAATTATAATTCACTTTTGCCGGCTGATGGTTCAATAATATGTGCATTTAATCTACCTTGAAGACAAATAGGGCGTATAAATATGTATTGTTTTTTTTACCTGGACAAGTGTTGGTAGTTTTACGAGTTTACATTAGCGGTGGCTGTGAAAGTATACTACTATGCACTACAAGTAATTTAGTTTCTGTCTAGTGAAATAGTTAAGACAAAATATGCTGACACGGGTGACTGAGCACCAATGTTTTTTTCGAAAAATGTACGCCTATAATGAAATTGGGTAATGCCTTGTAGGTTTTCGTTGTAAACATCAGCTCTAAACTATCATGACTATATATTTTATTGATTTTAGTTTTAGATTAATTTTATTCACCTCTTTCAGATGTCCGAGTTTGTTTAAATTATGCTGACCTTCATTTATGACAAAGGCTTGTAAAACACAATTGTGTTTGGGCTTTTAGTTGTTATTGTTTTTGCTTGTTTGTTTATTTAATTGTTTGCTCCTTTTTTGGTACGTTCTGCCTATAGGTGTTTGGATCAGAAGGCAGTAAGCAGATGTACTATCTGGTGATTGGCTGGGGTGCTCCTGTCATTGTAGTTGCTATAACAGTTGGGATCAGGCATCACGAATACGGAACAGAGGATATGTAAGTATTCCCATTATTTAAAACAAAAGGTGTCTAATCCACTCTCGGGATTGATACCTGCATAATTATGCTTTAAACATCCCCACCCCCTCCCCCCTCTCTCTCTCTCTCTCCCTCTCTCCCTCTCTTTCCCTCTATCTCTCTTTCTCACTCTCTCTTTCTCTCTGTCTCTCCACACTTTCTCCTCCTTCTTCTTCTACTACTTCTTGTATTTCTCCTTCTTCTTTTTCTTCCTCTTCTTCTTCTTCTTCTTCTTCTTTTTTTCTTTTCTTCTTCTTTTTCTTCTCTTCTTCTTCTTCTTCTTCTTCTTCTTCTTCTTCTTCTTCTTCTTCTTCTTCTTCTTCTTCTTCTTCTTCTTCTTCTTCTTCTTCTTTTTCTTCTTCTTCTTCTCCTTTTTCTTTGAAAGAAGGTTATCCACACTCACGACACCCACCACCTCATATAGACCAGAATCTTCATTGCTCCTAGCCTCCTACATCATCTTCTGAGAAAAAAAACACTGTTCGTCCAGGGACCCGTTTCACAAAGCCTTTTTTCAATGACTGATGACAAAACACAGTGACAAATCTGCTGATAACCAATCAGAAGCAAGGATTCCACTAGCTTATAAAAAAAAAAGTCATTTGTCACTGATAAACATTTTTGTGGAATGGGGCCCAGTTCTGTGTGGTCCCAGCCCCTGAAATCCAAGTTTGATACCCTAAATACACAATAAAAGGGTTTCCCCTTTAACCGTGCAAATGTTAAGGCCCTGTGCTTTCACCCTTACAAACTCCACGATCAGCCTCAACTCATATCTCTGCTTTCGAGATCAGTACGAAAGGCTTACGTAGGGGTCGAAGATAATAAAATTTTAAAAAAATGAATTGACAAAAACTTAAATCTTATTAATATTAGATTTTTTTAATAAAGATTCTGAAAGAAATTACTTTACAGTCGGAGCACCATTTACAAATGGATTTTTTGTTTTCTTCATTTGCGGGGTCTAAATTCAGTCTTTTTTTAGTGGCTTCTAAAACATCTAACGATAACATTTACACATCAGTGCTTAGACTATTTCTCATTCTATTATCGTCTACCTGTCATTAGGTGTTGGATCAAGCCTGGTTCGGGTGCGATATGGGCCTTCGTTGGACCGGTCATCGCAGTTATCCTGGTAAGTGAATAAGGAGGATCACTGTGGTATAGGGGTCGAAGGCTCTTGACTCTTGTACGAGAGGTCCCGGGTTCGAACCTTCCTCAGTGCTTTCGCCCTTAGACAAAGCACTTTACTCACTCTTGTCCCTCTGGACCCAGGGGGTGTTTCACAAAGATCCTAAGTTTAACTTATCTCTAAGTTGGACTTATGAATTATGGAAAGCCGATTGGCATCGTTGAAATGTTTTGTAAAAGTTATTGTTTTCACGAAGTGACGGTAGTAAGGAAAATCGTAACGCAAAGTGAATGCAATTTGTTTTCACTACCGTCACTTCGTGAAAACAGCGACGAAATGTTGATTCAAATCATTCCTATTTTCTATTATCAAGGAGATTTCATGTTCTTGCTGTGGAATTTATAAAAAGTCTAAAATACTCGAATTTTAACTTTTGAATATATTATATTTTAAGGCTACAAATGGCCCTAAATAATGTTAAAATCCAACTTAGAGTTAAGATCAGCTTAGGATCTTTGTGAAACACCCCCCAGAGGTATTAAATTGGTACCTAACAGTGCTGAGGTACCTTATTGCAGGTCCCTCAGAGAGACAGTGATAACCCATTGACTCCTGGTACCGGTGGATCCTGTGTTAAGCCTATGGGAATTAAACAATTCAGTAATCATCAGGTTAATGCAATAGTTTCAATTATTATCATAATCCTACACTTTCAACAGCTTCACATGAAACAGATCATGACCTGACTGATGACTTAAATATTTTATGATGAATTTAGATGGAAAGTAATAGTAATCAATCGGTTTAGGTGCAATTTAAGGAATTATCGGGAGGTTTAAGGGCAATGGGATTAATCTCGCCCCCCCCCCCCCCCCACAAAAAAAAAAAACTTAAAAAAAGAGGTTAGTTTATGACCCTTTACTAATTGTGATTCAATTGTTTCATATTATAGTACAAATGTTTTGACCTTAAACATGTTTATATAATTGTCACAAATTGACAGCAGCCAATGAGGATCAGAATGCAAGCTATGAAATTGGATTTTTAAAATAGAATTTAGAATGATGTCCATTTGTTTATAATGGAAATGACGGATGCCACTTTTACTTATTTGAATTAAATCATAAGCAAATACATAGGTTAGTGAGAAATTGATGATGCCATGGTCGTTTTATTTTCCTTAAAATCTCATTTTTTCTTTTATACAGTTCAATTTCCTCGTTCTGTGTATGGTGTTGCGTATCATCTACCGATCATCAGCGATCAACGTCGATTGCCCCATCGATCAAGTCAAGTATGATTCCATTCTTAACCCTTCCATTCTTATTCGTAGATCAATCATAGATTAATTCTTTGCTCCATGTTGGAGTCATATCTTGTATACACATGATCGAAAGTAACTAAAGATTACACTTGCCTGTCAGGCACTGTGAAGTTTCATTCCCCTCCCCCGTTGTATATATAGTAAATAAATAAAATGCAATAAAATTAATGAATGAATGAGTAAAAAAAAAAAAAAAAAAAACCTTGATACCACTTTGAAGCCCCACTGCACGACTTTACTTGATCCCTCTATATAGAAAACAATGCTTAAGCGGTGCCCGTTGGTCCCCCATGATCATCTTTTTCTTATGTTAATTGAGAGCTGAGTTGAGATAACCACCTGTCAGTGACCACGCTGCATGGGTGGTCTAATCCTTCCTGGCCAAACTAGTGCAGGTGGGATTTAAGAAATAACATTTACTATTACTTGGAGGTTCATGGAAGGAAACTACTCGTATTAAAACAGAAATGTTCTTTTTAAAATAATTTAGAATTGTTTGTCTCGATGATCACCTTAATCATACCGACTGAGCTTTATGATACACATTACAATAAGACTATAACCAATAAAAAGGCCAGTATCAATAGTAGACAAGAGTGATTCGCAATCAACGATTATAGACACTTAGAAATTAGAATGAGTAATGAAGCAACAGCTTGTGCCAGTCAGAACACATCCTCGTCATACGCAGTCAGACTTGTCTTAAATTCAAATTTTAATTTCAAAAGAGTTAAATTAATCATTTGGAAACTTCTTTGTAATGAGTCAAGTTAAATTTAACCTTGACGATGGGCTTAAACTTTTCTTCAAATCCGGTTTAGCAAACGTAGTTTATCTGAGGCTGTAAATAATGTTTTTATTTTATTAAACGTGATCTTATAGATCCAAGATCGGGGTTAAGTGCATTAGTAGAATACTGATCAATATCATCATAAGGCACATCCATGAGAGTAACACTGTATAGTTGTTAAGTGAACAGTATGCAAACAACAGCTATACTGGCTAAAAGTTGTGTCCATTCACCTAAATGTTGGAGTCAAACGTTTTCCGAGAAAACATGATTTATTTATTTTTCATTTCTTTTATTTCTTTGTCAATATCTAGGGCGGCAGCTAAAGGATCTATCGCTCTACTGCCCATCCTCGGTCTTACATGGTTTTTGGGGATATTCGCTTTGGGAAAGAGTACCATATTCTTTCAATATCTCTTCGTGATATGCAACAGCACACAGGGTATCTTGCTCTTTGTGTTTCACTGTCTCTTTAACTCAGAGGTAAGTAGAAACGGCCCTCTCTCGTCAACCCCCCCCCCCTCTCTCTCTGTCTCTCTCCCTCCCTCCCTCCCCGGGCTCCCCTACTCCTCTCTCTCTCTCTCTCTCTCTCTCTCTCTCTCTCTCTCTCTCTCTCTCTCTCTCTCTTCGTGATATGTAACAGCACACAGGGTATCTTGCTCTTTGTGTTCCACTGTCTCTTTAACTCAGAGGTAAGTAGAAACGGCCCTCTCTCGTCAACCCCCCTCTCTCTCTCTCTCTGTCTCTCTCCCTCCCTCCCTCCCCGGGCTCCCCTAATCTCCTCTCTCTCTCTCTCTCTCTCTCTCTCTCTCTCTCTCTCTCTCTCTATCTATCTCTCTCTCTCTCTCTCTCTTCGTGATATGTAACAGCACACAGGGTATCTTGCTCTTTGTGTTCCACTGTCTCCTAAACTCAGAGGTAAGATGAAAATGGTATAGCCCCCCCCCCCTCTCTCTCTCTCTCTCTCTCCCCCGGGCTCCCCTACTCTCCTCCCCTCTCACTCTCTCTCTCTCTCTCTTCGTGATATGTAACAGCACACAGGGTATCTTGCTCTTTGTGTTCCACTGTCTCTTTAACTCAGAGGTAAGTAGAAACGGCCCTCTCTCGTCAACCCCCCTCTCTCTCTGTCTCTCTCCCTCCCTCCCTCCCCGGGCTCCCCTACTCTCCTCCTCTCTCTCTCTATCTCTCTCTCTCTCTTCGTGATATGTAACAGCACACATGGTATCTTGCTCTTTGTGTTCCACTGTCTCCTAAACTCAGAGGTAAGATGAAAATGGTATAGCCCCCCCCCCCCTCTCTCTCTCTCTCTCTCTCTCTCTCTCCCCGGGCTCCCCTACTCTCCTCCTCTCTCTCTCTCTCTCTCTCTCTCTCTCTATCTCTATCTCTCTCTCTCTCTCTTCGTGATATGTAACAGCACACAGGGTATCTTGCTCTTTGTGTTCCACTGTCTCCTAAACTCAGAGGTAAGACGAAGAAAAAACGGTTTCGTTGATCCTGTAAGGCTCTCTATTTCTCTCGCTCTCTCTCTCTCTCCCTTTCTCTCTCTCTCTCTCTCTCCCGGGTCTTTTCCATTGTCATCTTTTTCTTGCCTCCTTTGTTTTCTTTATCGCTTTTCTTTCTCCTCCCCCTCCCCCACCCCTTCACTTTCTCTCTTTCTCTCTCTCTCTCTCTCTCTCTCTCTATCTCTGTCTTTCCTGTCTGTGTTTTTCTATCGTCATTTTTTTTTAGAGAAGAGAGAGAATGAGAAAGAGAGGGAAGCCACCATGAAAAAGAAGGTGATACCACCACCCTTTCAAACACCCTGTCCTTATTCTTATTGCGTCATACCCCTTCATAATAATACGCCCGATGCCCCCCTCATGACGTCACTATACCTTCTCAATGTCTGGGTACATTTTACGCTGTAGACTACAGAACGCATCAATCTTTTTAAACGCAAGTTTTGTTTACATAAGTTTCATTAAACAATGATTACTTGACGTATTCAATTCATGATTCTTTTTGTTAATTCTTATTTTTCTCAGGTCAGAAATGCACTGAAGCGTGAACATGAGAAGATGGGCTGGTCCACTGCTGGTGGTACACAGAGTAGGAAGGCTAAGGTATGTCATTACAAGTCTTTCGGTCTTCCTAGGAATATCAATTCCCTTGACTTATTCTCCAACTCAAAGTAACATTTATCTTCACCCACATTTTCAATGTCCAATTCAATTCAATTCAATTCTTTTATTCATCCTAATTCACAAGAATACATGGAGAAAAAAGGTTGGTCACACATTGTAAAAATACGTAATATATATATATATGAGAAACTATACCGTCGTGTTTATAATCACAAAAGAACCATCAAAAATAAAAGGTTGACAAAATATAAATAGTCATATGAACATACTCAAATAATATTCTGTAATGAAACATAAGCAAATCATCATTTTGAAGTAATAGTAATATGCCTACAAGGAAGAAGGTATGAATCATATTATGCCTTACCTTGTGAAAGGTACGCCTGTATATATATCATCTTTGCCCGTAACAAACCGGTCAAGCCCCTTGCAACTTAAATCAAAATTATCTCTTATCTGTCTTGAATTAAGCGTGTTTTATTTCATAAATGTATATTACACTGCCCAGGTCCAAAGTCAGCTTCATTCAGTTTTATATGGTAGAAAGGGACACTGGAAGCAAATGTATTTCAATGTCATATGTATATCATGTATAGGTTAATTTATCGCATCGACTGATACCTTATCAGACTAGTAGTTAGTATAATTGACTCACTAAAGACTATGACAAATTACACATTTGTAATCAAAGAATTACAATTGTCACGCTTATTATAGGAATGTGTGCAAAATATGCCACTATCATTCTCGTATATAATTATGCACAGTGGTACAAGTAAGTCGCTGCTAATTGACCCTGATCTATGGTAGAGGTTATAAAATTAATAATTGTTCATTTTTTCCTTTTTTTAAAAATTGATTTCTAGGTCCATCCTGAAGACATCGGTACTAGCACAGCCAAGGGCCTCACTACTAAAGGTACGTCTTATCATTCACGAATTATCATTATAATTTATTTTAGGATGCCGCTCTGGAATTGATGTTTCTTCATGTGAGATAATGACCTGTGTATTTTCAAAGCAATTTGAAAAGTATACTGACTTTGTATAAACAAACATTTTAAAATCGCTCTTTGAACATGTTTAAGGTGCTTCTAATTTATAATTTCTTATAAGAGCATATTGGTTTACAACGGGTAATAGTTTTTAGTTTATCCCGGCAGGCTAAAAAAGGGTAGGGTGATTTTGAAATCAGCTAAAATCTTAATCTGGATTTGCTAATACATACAAATTTCAAATTTATAAATTATATGTAAGGTATAATTACCTCATGATTTAAGTATTTTCAATCTTAGTAAGAAAATAACGCGATATGCTCTCAACATTCATTTAATCAATCATGACGCAAATCTGAGGGAAACTGTTCTTTAGCAATAACGTACTTACATAATGTACTTACATGAAATTCAAGACAGTTTAGCATGGAATGTGCTCACCGAAAAGTGAATCAGTGTTAATTAAAACCTCAACATTCCAAATGTTCGGTAAGCAAACTACAAACCTCGTATGAAGCCAAACGTACAAACTGGATTTCGTTGGTCTTATTTCCACATCCCGCAAAGAAAATATTTAGCACAATCGCAACTGCCTTAAAAAAATCAAGTCAAGAGCACTTTCGATACCCTATTATATATCGTATAGAAATACATAATACATCACATTTAAAACGGGGATGGACATGGTTAGTGAAATTGCCTTAATTTGATTTTTCTTTGTATAGTCTTTGCAAAAATGTTTTTTTTAAGAACAATAAAATATTAAATGTTGTAGGCTTTAATTGGGTGAGACAAGTCATTGTTGTTCAAAGATTTTTTTTAAGGGTAATGTCTCATATTGTTGTGTTTCTTTGTCATTTTGTCTCATGTTAGGGGCCACTAAGACCACCAGTGCTGAAGAGAAATCTGTTAGTGTATACCATTCAGCCCAGGTAGTATATTTTTTCATAAATTTTGAAAATAAGTTTTAAAGTTAAACTGTTGTCAGTGCATTATATTGTTCTGATCCTCAAGGTTTCGTCTGAAACATTTGTCGAAGACTCCTCGTAATTCTGTCAGCGTTTAAAGAAAAGAAAATGGCTGGTCTTTGTAACACGACAGGGACAAGACTTACCATTAACATGAAATAAAATATTTCAAGAAAATGCCACAACCCGATATAATATTCGGGTGATTTATGTATTAAAGGTTAAGGGCATCATATGACTAGTACTCTACTGCTATACCGTTACCATGTTGACCGGCATTCTTTTTCCCGTAAAGTCCATTTTACTTTGTAGAAATAATTATATACAACTGCAAGTGTATTACTTGACCACATTAAAGGATCCACATCTTAATAGCAAAATAGAAAAATGATGTTAAAGCTATATAACATCGTAATACCTCTACCGTAAAAAAACACCGATCCACATACATTTCAATTAGAAGACACCATTCTTAAGATCTGTATTGTTATAGACGAATGATTCTAATATTATGATAATTATACTATAAGATGAGGTACCTTACTAATTGTACCTTCACTGTGAATAGGCTTTATGTTTCGGAACTGATAACGAGTTATGTGAATAGATTTTCTTCTGTTGAATGAAAACGAGAGTCCTTAAAACACCTCGTGGACACTGTCAAAATACACACATATGCATTTTTCCGATGCATGTTCTTTTTTCAAGTTCATTATAAAAATACATAGGTATTTTTATTACAAATATTGTTACTTTTCATTTATTTTTCCTATCAGCATGTTCCCCCCCCTTTTTTTAAAAGTTTAGTTTACCCCCACTTTAAAAACACAAAATTTATAGCACAATCCTTTTAAGAAAATTAATGTTTGTTTGGTATCATGGTATATACTGTCGTTTGTAAACAGTGGTAAGAGGTATCTTCAGAAGTTCAGAATATGTTTTGATTCAGAAGAAATACAAATGGATTTACATCAACTATAACAAATTGCGACAAATCGAAATCAAAAACCATTAGAAGAACTATATCTGTTCTTTTTTTATGACATAGAACATAGAACGTGAAGTTCAACATAAAATTTATTTAATCATTATTCTTTATTTCACTAATGTTTGCCTTACATAATGCACACGTGAAAGTGTTCTTTTTAAAGGGGGAAACAAACAATAAAATTAATCATAAGTACGTCCGTCACTTTGGATTTAATGCACCAAGAGAAATATCTTCATGTTTAAAAGATCCGTTGATATGTATAATACATGTGTACCATATGATAAATACGCACTGGTCAGGTATCTGACGCTTTTGGTCAAACTATTGAATATTCATGATAAATTTACTTTGAAGCGTCCAAAGAGAGAGAAGAGAACCAGAAAGGTAACCATGGTAACAGTAGTATCTATGTTCGCTAGATGTAGAATTTTTTTGAAAAAATGTCTTTTAAAAAGAGCGCTGGCTGAATAATGAAAACAAAAAGTTTATGGCTATCACGGTATTGGCTTGTCTTAAATTGATTTGAATGTTGATATAATTTTCATTGAATAATTTAATCTGGATGTTGTGATTAAATAATATAATTAATTCAAAGGTTGTTATGTTCAAGTTTTGTCAATGAATATAATTGTATTTCATGCTACTAAACTAAAAAATCCCCAGTAACCACTGCTTTTCTACCTGCAAATTATGCAAATTTCCCCTTGATTTTCAGTTTGAAATCCTTAGAATCAGTTTGATAACCCTATGGCCCTGAGCTTTATGCTTAACTCTGTTTCTAAAAAATGTATCGACATTTATTTTTGTCCACAGTTTGTTCTTCTTGCAAAACCCTACCGAAATGTAACTAACATTTCTAATCCTGCTAAAGAAAATTTGCTTTACTTAACCCTAATAAGGCCGGGCTATTTGAAGTCTTACTACGGCCGGGGGGGGGGGGGGCCATTATGGCCCCCCCCCCTAAGATCTCGGCCGTTTAAGGGCCGATCTCCGCGAAAATTTGCACGCATGTCAAGTGAAGTGTACAGAACAATATGATAATTTCAATTTTTTGAAAAAAATCACTCATTTGTATATTTATGGTAATTTATGCAAATAACGTCATAAAATCACATTTTTACCCATAAATCATATATTACTCATATTTAAGCATTCTTTTTCACTACATATATTCATTAGACCATTTGAAACAATAATACGACAAAAAAATTTGGAAGAGCCAGCTTATTCCTTATGTTATCTCTTGTTTTGATAATTTCTTATGTATTTCATTGTTTTTTTAACTTATTTATGTTATTGTTTTTTTTTTTTATTTCTTCCTACAATTCAACTATTTTGACTCCCAAAACAACCACCTAAACTTTAAACAAGACCCAATAACCAATGTTTGTTCTTTTTTTAGGAAAAATGACATTCCCATATGTTTTGTACACAAATCACAAAAATGAGCGATTTTCGGGCTGACATGCAAAGACAAAAGGTCACGTGACCTTGTAACTATAGGTCCGATTTTTTTTTTTTTTTTTTAAAGATGCGCAAGACTCTTAAGAAAAAAGTCAGCGAGCGGCGAGGCGCCATCCATATGCGTTCTCGAACAATCAGTAAAATCGTGGAGGGGGGGCATAATGGCCCCCCCCCCGGCCTTATTAGGGTTAACCAAACTTGACAAAGTTGCTATTTAAAGTATGTATCAAATATCTCCCATTTAAACAACAAATAGCTTTAATTACTGTATCAGTATCTGCACGTAAGTTGTTAATAAAGTCAGCGATCGCACCGTTTAAAAAAAATAACTTGCGTGTTTTTTATTTTATTTACTGTTTTTTTCATGACAAAGCTGCTTGCTAGAATTTGAACTGAGTTCTAAAATTAAAAAATGCACGAACCTAAAAAGGTACACACACACACACACACACACAAACCCGTTTGCTTATATATCACCAACTAAGGAAACCACCATTTGTTTGAAAAAAGAAAATCACCAAATCGCACATTTATAGCGTGAAGTCCATATATTATTTACCACTTTTTTTTTCTTTGGAATTGAATAGATTTCCATGTTCACTTAAAGATAAACTCCAGTACTGGTAAAAAAAAAAAAAAATTCTCACAGAATCAAACGAAACTTACACTGAATGTTCAAGATTACAAATAAATGACATGTGCCAAACAATTTTGGAAGAAAATGTATACTGGCTGAGTAATGAGCATAGAAAGACAAGGAAATCAAGGTAGTACTAGCCCCGACACCATGTGTGTTGTCCCATATATAGCTTTCTATGTGAGTGCTTGTTACTTTACCAAGACTCGGTCAAATTTACTATGATTATGATGACTCCAGAACCTTGCAGTGCACACCAATACTTTCATGCTACATGATCAACTGTTTCTGATCCTTTCCACACCTTTTCTTTCACAATGCAATCGCATTACCAGTACTAACGTTTATCTTTAAGAATAAAATTTGAGTTGCTACAGTGACATAGCCAATTATAACCCGTTTCATCCAAATTGACATTCATGTTGATCAAAATGAGTATTTTAGAAAGTACCATCTTTCTCTAATATGCTGGTAGGTAAACAAAATCACTCGTGCAATATTACAAAGAAGGCTTCAAAGCTGCTGTTCCCCCAAAAAGCTGAATTAGATCACATCTCTTTTCACCGTGATGACATAGTGCCTTTAATATAATTTATTCATGCAGCCCAGCTAAAGCCGGCATAATAACAATTGTTATTATTATTAATGTTCTTATAATTATGATAATAATTTGTATTATGATTACTATTTGTATTATGATTACTATTTGTATTGGTAATATTTTATTCATTATTATATTGTTGTTGTTGTTGTAAGTATCATCATCACCATCGTCATTATTGTTAATATTCAGATTTTAACTTGGAGATTATTACCCTGGCTTTAGCTGTGGTGCTATTGCGGCGCTCTAGCATTTTCAAAGAATTAATTCCTGCCAGGTACCCATTTACATCACCTGGGTTGAAGTACAAAACTGTAGGCAAATGTAGATGAATGAATGTCTTGCCAAAGGGCATTAGTGCCGCGGCGGGTCTCGAACCGTGATCGACAGTCCGGTGACTTAACCACTCGACCACGGCACCTCTATTATTATTAATATTATTATTTTCATTATTATTATTATTATTATTATCATTATTATTATTATTATTATTAATATCGTTATTATAATCATTATTGTTATTGTTATTAGTATTATTATTATCATAATTATTATGTTACCTCCTTATTATCTTACCTCCTTTCCTTCCTAGAATCTATCTGGTAAGGGGGACATGAATCCAGAGTCTAAGACCAAAGACGAGCCTAAGAAGACCAACTCTGAGTTCTCTCTGCCGGGTCAGATCGATGACCCCCTTGATGAGGCTCAGACCAGCACCATACGACAGGTGAATCTCGCACTTACATCTCCTCTTGATTTGGGTGGTGATGATGATGATGATGATTCGAACGATGAGGGGGCACGTGCAATCTTTGATTGACACGATAAGTGCCTAGTAGGTAGGCTCATCAATTAATTCGGCCAAATTGAATTAATTCCTTGTTTCTCGTCTCCTCCATCATTATTATCTTTATTTTTATTATTATTATCATAATCATAATCATTATTATCAATATCAATAGATAATGATCTGAGGATATCTACTCAATGACGTCACAAATAATTGTGATTCTTTTTTAGGAGGGGGGGGGTTTGGCTAAAAATTGATCTAGAAGCATTTTTATGTACAAAAACATTTGAAGACAAAATTCCGGACGAGAAACAAGGTATCACTTTAACATGGTCCAACATGTCCCTTTTCTTTCGTAAAGTATACACTTAAATGACTTAATGACATTGTAAATTGTCATAGTAGTGGAACTTTGACACGATACGTAGTCCCTACCTACATGATAACGAAACTTATAATCATGCATGGATGTTTTGAAAATAAATACTAAAATTTCGGTCTTACTGTCCATTCAATATCAGGCATGTTAAGCCTTTTCAAATAAACAAGAATGTACTTTACTTTTCTTTACTTTACTCTCGTCGAATTTCCGATTTGTCGTGATATGAGGTACAGGGTCCTATGTCATAATAGTTGTTATCAATAACAAATGATAATTTTCTATGGCAAATTTGCTCTCAGCCAATCAAATGCCCCGATTTCAGTAGCTTACAACAGCTTTTGTATCTTGTTATCTTGTACCCAGTAGTTGATACCTGACATTGCATTCCAGAACCTTTTGCTATATTTGAATATTTTATTCATTGACTACTACCATATAGAAATCGTTTGACCTATGACCTTTAATGCTCTGACACATGTCAAAGTTGATCCTTATTGTGTGCATCTCTCTTTTGCAGAAATGAGACCAGGATGGCGGCGTTTATGTCATTTTTGTTCAATCGGTGATTGTCTCCCTGTGTATCACAGATCAAACGAGAATTCTAGTAACGTGCAATATTTATATTACCCAATTCAAAAAAAGCCGAATGGTGCTTCAGTTTTAGAAGAGTTATCATAACTTTACTGCCAGTCTTTGTTGATGTATTTTCTTCACTCTAAATTTCCTACAAGGATCGGTAACAAAATTATTTAATGAAAAAAACACGAAATTACGTCCAAAAACATGATGAAAAGATATAAAATAAACCTAACATAATTTCAAGACAAAAATGTAAACACATGACTAGATTTTCCATGCGATCTGTTCTTTGTTATAAGTTCTTTATGTGTTTCAGTCTTATGCGTGCTAGAGAGTAGGTGAAATTTTTGTTTGAGTGATTTTTTTTCTTCTAAACGCACGTTGCTTGCAAATTACTGAAATCTGATGCATATATATGTAAAGCATGCCAAGCATGACCTTAATACGATTGTTAATGTTGGCATGCCACTATTCAAAATATATAGTCAGTACCCCCTTTTCACACCGTACTTATTTACTTGAATGGGGGTGCTAGGGGTTTCAGTCATTGTAGATCCACTTTGTCTGTCAATCTAGTTCAAACCATCACATGAATTTGAAGTTGGAATTGTAAGTTGTTACATATCTACCTCTCACTAGAAGACTGTAGAATATATAATATATATATATATATGCCATTGTGCGCACTTCACTGCTGTGCAATATATCCATATGTAAATGGTAACACGCTAAATGCATTGTTATAATCTTCATTACTCTTCCCAACGTAGTATAGTTAGAATTGAATTGAAGTTAATTTAATTTAATTTTGAAGTTATTAACAACAACACATCGCAATAATGGCGGTATGAACAATCATACCATACAAAGTATAATGATAATACATGAATACGTGATTGAAAAGTAATGGCTTTAATATATACTCTTTTTTTTTTGGACACAAAACTGGTTATCTAGTTACTTAAGTGATAGGCAAAACAATTTACCAGTAGGTTAACTAAAACACAGGAGAATAAACGGTTACCTTTTTATACTTAGTATCTGTTCCCTAACTGCCACACAGGGATTAACCAGACTATTTAGGGAATAGCGTATTCTCATCTTATGTCCAGTACCAGTTACATATTATCTTACACAAAGGAACCAACTAGTTACCTGTCTTACACCTAGGGGATTATCTATTTTCTTGTCTTACATTTAAGGGATTAAAACTGACATAGTGTATACGTAGGTAATCAAGTAGTAACTTATCTTACATCTAGGGAATTAACCAGTTCCCCTTTTCACCGTAGGAATTAATCAATTACCTGTCTTACTACCATTCGGGGATTACCCACGTACCTATCTTACACATGCAGTGGATTAACCAGCTACCTATCTTACATCAAGGAGACCAACTAGTTACATATCCTACACTCAGGGGATTAACCTGTTATCTGTATAACACTCAGGGGATAAACCAGTTACATATCTTACAGCCAGGAGATTAACCAGTTACATATCTTACTCTCAGTGGATCATACTTTTACTTGTCTTACACCCAGGGCATCAATCTTGTAACTGTCTTACACCAAGGGGATTATTGACCAGTTACCTGTAACATAACTTGGGTTTTAACCGTGTCTTATCTTACACCTTAAGGAAGAAACAGTTCTTATCTTCAACACTGTACCAGTAACCTGTCTTTACACCCAAGAGATTAACCAGTTAACCTATGACATTAACATGTTACACGCCTTACAAGTTCGGTATTACCCAGGTACCTGTCTTATACTTAGGGGGATTGACTAGTCTCTCATAACACACATGAGTTAGTTATCTTACACACACGAGTTACTTATCTTACACACAGTAGTTACTTATCTTACACACAGGATTTACTTATCTTACATACAGGAGTTACTTATCTTACACACAGGAATTACTTGTCTTATACGCAGGAGTTACATATACACACAGGAGTTACTTATCTTACACACAGGAGTTACTTATCTATACACACAAGAGTTACTTATGTTACACACATGAGTTACATATCTTACAGACAGGAGTTACTTATCTTACATACATGAGTTACTTATCTTACACACAGGAATTACTTATCTTACACACAGGAGTTACATATACACACAGGAGTTACTTATCTTACACACAGGGGTTACTTATCTATACACACAAGAGTTACTTATGTTACACACAGGAGTTACATATCTTACAGACAGGAGTTACTTATCTTACATACATGAGTTACTTATCTTACACACAGGAAATACTTATCTTACACACAGGAGTTACATATACACACAGGAGTTACTTATCTTACACACAGGAGTTACTTATCTATACACACAAGAGTTACTTATCTTACACACAGGAGTTACTGATCTATACACACAAGAGTTACTTCTGTTACACACAGGAGAATAACCGGTTAACTATGTAAACCTAAGGGATTTACCAGTGTCCTGTCTTATATTTAGGCGATTAACGGGTTACCAGTCATAAACCTAGGGGATTAAACAGTAACATATTTTACCCCCAAAAAAATTAACCAGCTGCCTATCTCGTTTTCAAACAGGAGATAAAGACTGAGCGAGAGATGGAACAAGGAGGCTGGAAGATCAACGAGAAGAAGCATGTCCAGCGAACCTTTGTTCGTGTCGAAGACACCCAGTAATCAAACACAGCATCTACACTTGAAGTGCTACACTACACTCAAAGTGTTGTATTCTTACACCCTGCACTTTACATAGATTTGCCTCTATTGAGAGTATAGTGAATGTTAACACCATGGATAAGCAGGTATATTTAATGCATATTTCAGTGTAAAGCAGGTTCAACACCATAAAGGGTAAACAATGTTGAATTTTAGCACTTTTTAGTGTACACATTAGGTTTTAACACCACATGAGTTAAATAATGTTGATTTTTTTCTTCTTAATTATGGTTAAGTGTGAAGTGAGTTTTGACTCCAGAAAAGGAAAACAGTGTTAATTTTAAGCACAATTCGATGTAAGGTAAATATTGTACAGCACAGAAATATTGATGTTATATTGATGTTATGCACCATTCATTCTCGAGTCACTTTAATTTTAAAAAGTATAAACTAAACAACCGAGTAGTTTTAACATCTTAGTTATGAATTAAAAAAAATATATAGTTGTCTTTGTGTAGGCTGAACATGGTTCAAGGTAAACACTGATAATAACAATAATAAAATTAACTCAATAAATAAGAAAATGTGATAACTCTTTATAATCATAGCTTATGGTAAAGGGCAACAAGTAAACAGTTAAAGTCTAACAAACCGTTCACTATTCAGAGTTAACTTGTTTATTAAATACGGTACATGAACTATGTCTTGAACACGGTTTAGCGTAATGTACAATTCAATCCAATGTAGTATTTTAATGTGTTCATTGTGAACTTGGCTGTTTATTTTAAAAAAATCTTTGAAAACTTTAAAGGAAGGTGTTCGTATTTGCAGGATAAAAATGTGGCCACTAGGACAGGTTTGACTGTATGTGATTGTAAATATGTTTCAAGAGCCCGTCTTACGGGATTCCTCTCACTTGCACTTTACTTAAGATTTCGATATAATACCGGAGGAGATGAATTTCGTAAATTTTAAATATATCTTTTAACACTAGATATGTGAAGAATATAATGAAATTTGTCGAATCCCGATTGTAAATATGTGTAACATAAAATCTTTATATGTATATTCAATTTCAAGGTCCATCCAGGGGCGTCGCTGGGGATGCCAGGGTTGCAACTTACAACCTCATTGCCACCAAAATGTTATGTGATTGAGTCTAAAACTGTGAGAGTCAAATTTAAAAGTAAATACATTCGTTTAAAAGGGGATTGCCGGAAATAAATTGCAATAACTCTTTTTGTTTTTGAAAATCTAAAGACCTATTTTGTTAATCGAATGATTCTCATTTGTTGGAAAAATATTTTGGTAATATGTGATCTTTCACTCACCCCCCCCCCCCCCCCCCCCCCCCCCCCCCCCCCTCCCAACACAACCGCTATGGTCTTGCAATGCCCCTGGATGTATGCTTTTTATGGGTTGTATTTCTTATGGCACGATACTATTATTGATTATTTACATTTTAGTTTACATCACATGATTCAAGTATCGTAAACGAACAATATCATATGTCAAGTAATAATTGCTATATCTTTTAGTAAAGTCGAACGATTATTTCGTTATGAATGTAAACCGCACTACCTTAAAGTTAAGAAATACTTACTTTCGCATAAAATTACCATAGCACGTAGATTGCTTAGTAAGTGACTGAATATTTTCCTTTATATTTAATCAATATATGAAATTAATTAGAAGAATATTAATCAATGTAAGTGACAGAATTGTTTCCATTATATTTAGTAAATATGTTAAATGAAGTAGTAGAATTGTTTTGGGGATATTAATATTCTATTGTCTTTCAGCAAGGTTTTTCATGTATCAAGCGCTTTCATGTACCAAGCGCTTTCTTGTTGTATTAATACAAAATTATTCTAGAATTAATTATGCTTATTGAGGATGATGATAACCATATTTGAATTTGGTAATGCGTGATTTATTGATTGATAACAACGTACCAGAAGTGAATTTATTCTCTGAAGTTTAAAGATTACATGTTTAGATCTTTTAATCCGTACATTTATTAACTGTCTCATGATTGCTTATTTTGATCAACCTGACAATTTATCTCTAATATACTTCAGCTGTACCGTTCGGGTGGAAAAATACGTCATACTCATTTAGGCATTATTTTCAAGAACAACTAAATTAATATGAATCATTCTTATGATGTAAATTTATCAGATTTTACTCCAATTATGTATATATATATATATATATACAAATGATCTTTTATTTGGATATGGGAAATCAAATTTTCTAGATATGTTGGTGTCGTTAAGTGTGATTATGTAAGCTTGCCTATAGTGCGCTTTCATTTTCTATTTTCTTTGTAATGATAAAAAAAATACTTTCCTGCTTAATTGACCATTAATCAACAGTTTAAACGAATTTGAGTTTACCAAAATAAATCAACTCGTGAATGCAATGTCTTTCACATGCCAGATTCTTTGATTTAAAATAAATATTATGAACGCATGAAAGTAAACACTGCAAGTTTTACATGAGACATCGGCCAGTAAGCATGATGGTAACATTTTTAGGCGGGATTTTCTGGAGAGTATACCCAGATACATTTTTTCTGACTCCTTAAAGTGACTAGGTAACATTGTTGAAGGTTAATTTAAAACTGCTTAATTTGTGTATGAAATGTTACTAATGATATACCTTCTACTGTACTAACCCCCTAACATGCAACAAATCAATTCTCAAACCACAAAGATATGTATGGTTTTCTTTGAAGACAGCACTGTGCAACACCTTTAACAGTACAATTCTCCCAACCATTTTTGAAATTTTCTCAACCGTTTCCCATAAAAAAATAAGGCACAAGACAGGCTTTTAAAAATCTTTCAACACTTAAATGTCTGGAATGGTATATAGAGCTTTGAATTGATTTACATTCACCTTAAATGTAATGCAATTGTAATAATATAGTTGAGAGAATTAAGGAATCGATCACATAAGTTTTCCCCAATTTTTATCATTGATAATGGTTTGTTTTCACTCAAACTTTCAGATTATCTTTAATTGCATCTAGCATTGAAGTCACTACCTTAGCACCATTATCTCTCATCTGAACAATGCTACCAAGTCCCTTTAATATTGTATTCCCAGTTGAACAATCAAAGGATATATGTCAAACAAACGGCACGTTTATGATGAATATAATCTTCTAAAGTTTCTTGATTCTCATTATACAAAAATGTTGATTTATTAAATACCCCTTAAATTTATCGTTTGGCCTTCAATCAATCAAAACTTTACAAAAAATAGTAACTTTAATCGTTATCTTAGTTATAGATACAATTCACAGTAACAATCCAATTAATTGCAGCTAGACTGGAGATACAATAGAATTTTTACAAATGGTTGTATGTCGATTTTAATGCTTCAGGCCCCTAAAACATTCATCAGTGAGAATTAAGACTTCTATAGCCATTAATTGGTGATCTATACTATTGTTACGTTGTCTCGAATCAGTATATTGCTTATCACCTTGAATTTCTGAGAGTACGCTCTTTTTCGAGAAATAAAAACTGTTGCTATATTTCACATGATAATTCTTGACGTGTATTTATTATGTTTTGTACAACATCATGCAGGCTAAAACATGGACCCCGTAGTATGCCTTCGGGCTAGTCTCACATACAAACTTAAACATGACGAGTGAGCCAATTGTACTTATTCAGGTCATGAAAGTACTTACAGATGAAGTTGAGTTCTGGTCATGCGGATGCGATTGCATTGTACAAGGAACGGTGTGGAATCGACCAGAAAAGGTTGATCATCTAGCATATAAGAATTTGTGTGTATTGCAAGGTTCTGGAATCATCAAAATGATAAGAAATTTGGCCAAGTCTTGGTAAAGTTACAAAAACTTGCACAGAAAGATGTATATGGGACTACACGAACACGTGGCGTAAAAATCCTACCCTGGATTTTTACGAGGTTACATGACATATTTAGAATATGACGGCATTTGAAGAGCCATGCTTTTCAGGGACTCACATGTCTTATCTGATGTTCTTCCACACTTGCATAATAAGAATGATAACGCTCACAAATTATTTTTCACCTCTCCTAGAACTCAACCTTCTCTTTAAAGGTAAAGACCAGTATTGGAAACGCCCCAATTTCAAAAAATGAAATGGAAGCTCTCATTACCAATCATGTGAAAGAATATGTTTTGACTAATACATGATGATACAAAATTTGCCGGGAAACCGCCTACTAATTCATATATTTGGTAAATTTGTTTCTCTCATGGACTGTGAGAGATATAGGGTAGTCCCATAAACATCTTTCTGTGTATAGTGCTTGTAACTTTACGAAGAATGGGCCAAATTTCTTATCATTTTGATGATTCCAGAACCTTGCAGATGCTAGATGCTAGATAATCAACCTTTTCTGATCGATTCCACAACGTTTTTTTGTCAATGCAATCGCATGACCATAACTGGTCTTTACCTTTAATGAACTTCAAAAAGTTGCTTTGCTTTTTGACCTTACATCAACCGAGGTGTCAGAACTTGGGACACTGGGGGTTTAAGAATCCTGCAATGGTGGATCCAGGATTATCTGGTAGATGGACGAGACAAGTCAACAACAAGCCACAACAACAACAAAACAAAAAACAAAAGAGGGGAAAAGAAACGGCCACTGGTTTGATTGATGTGCCATCTTTGTTATATAATGCTCGGACATTAAAAACATTGGTATCAGTCCATTATTTATTTTATTTTCTTCTCCCTTTCCCCTTCTTTTTTGTTGAAGGGGTGGCAGGGGGCTGCCCCTTGATTCGCAACTGCCATGACACCAATGGCCGACAACCCCTTTTTACATAACATGATTAGGATGTGTTAAGGAGAGATGAAGTTGAGGGGAAACTGAGCCCTGTTTCATGAATCTATTTATCACGAACAAGTTACAACTGTTATAAGCTACTGAAACTATTATGTTTGACTGGCTGTTGGCAATTTTTAAAATAAAAATGGCAGTTGTTATTGATGATAATTTGCTATGAAGCAGGGCCCTGATAATTTTGTGAGCTCACGAGATTTATTAGGCACTTGCAACCTTAAAGAGACTTGAACAATCTTAAATTGGAAAAGATAAAGGGGAAGAGGAGGAGAAGAGTACTCTGAATGTACAATTTGCAGGAAATATTAGAAAAGACAGGAATGGAAGACCAAATGACATGATTTTCCGGGATATTTTTCTCACTTTTTTGTAAAATATACTTTTTTAAGAGTTTGTTTAAAAATGACATTCCCAAATTTACAGTCGGGCTAAAAAAATTGCTTCTTTAGAAGCCTGGATGTTAGGGCCCGCGGAACTGCGGGGCTCGACCCCTAAACATAAACAAAAAGAAAGAAAGAATAGTGACCTGCCAGTGTCACAATGAGGTATCAAAACTATGCTCATTTGACCGTACACTCTTAGAAAAAAGGGTTAAAAAAGGGTGCAAAATAAGAGTTTGCACCCTTTACATAAAAATAACCCTATTGAAGGAAAGGGGGTTAAAAAAAGGGTGCAATATAAGATTGTGCACCCTTCCCACAAACAAAAATGAACCCTATAGACCAAAAAAGGGTGCAAAATAAAAGTTTGCATATAGCATGCATATTCATGATTACTTTCCACGTGTTCACATAAAAATACATTTATCATATGATTTGTTAAGCAAATTATGACAATGCACATCAATTTTGAGATTTGCATTTTCCTTTGGCAATGATTAACCAATAGATTATTTTGTCTGATCATGTTACAATTACATTCACGTTTTAGCAATAGATATATTGATTATGTGATTACTAACCAAGAAACATCATGCATGTTTAATATGTATTTGTGTACGAGCAAATTTTACCACTATTCTTCGATGATGGGTGCAGGATTGCACCTTTTAAAGGGTGCGAGATTGAACCCCTAAAGGTGCTGCTATTGCATCGGTTTGCACCCCTAATGGAGCAGGATTGAACCATTAAGGGTACTAACATTGTTGCATTGGTTTGCGCCCCTAAAGGTGCACACTGCACCATTTTTTCTTAGTGTGTAATTAAAAATTAAAACCCCTGAGCTTGCAGGGTTTTTGCACCCTGGACCCTCCGTGAGCCCTTAGGCGGGCCCCTGGATGCTCATCTGACCGTTATCTAATGCCTAAAACCCCTGAGCTTACGGAGGCTCTGCCCCCTGGACCAGTGGCGGATCCTGGTTGGGGGCCTCCCCTGGGGAAAAAAACGTGTAAAAACACGTTAATTTTACTTTTTTTTTAGATGGGCCCCCTCCTCTGGCGCTCAGGGGGGGGGGGGAGTATGTTTTTCAAATTTTCGAGGGCCAAAACAAAAAATAGTGCTCACTTACCCAAGAAATCAGAGGTTTAAAATTTTCGGGGAAACTAAATTCAGATAAGAATTGGGGGTCAAGAACAGTAAAACGAATGGTCTGCATTCTCTCATAATTTAAGGAAGCGTCAAAGCTTCCGCGCTTCGCGTGGGAGGGGGGGGGGACATAATTCAGACAATTAGGGTTAAGAGTCGCGAACGGTACAACGAGTCGTCTTCTTTCTATAATAATTTAATTAAACGTAAAAGCTTCGGCGCTTCGCTCGGAAAGGGGGAAAATGAAATCAGACAAGGATTAAAAGTTGTGAACGGTACAACGAATCGTCTTCTTTATCTAATGATTTTAGGAAACGCCTGAGCTTTCGCGCTTCGCGCGGGAGGGGGAAACTGAATTCAGACAAGGATTAAGAGTCGAGTACGGTACAACGTATCGTCTTTTTACTCGAATAATTTAAGGAAACGTCTAAGCTTTCGCGCTTCGCGCGGGAGGAGGTGGGGGAACTGAATTCAGAAGATTAAGAGTCGAGAACAGTAGAACGAATCGTCTGCTTTCTCTAATATTCTAAGGAAACGTCAAAGCTTCCGCGCTTCGTGCGAAAGGAGGAAAGGTCTAAGCTTTGACGTTTCATTAAATTATTAGAGAAAGAAGACAATTCGTTGTACTGTTTTCGACTCTTAATCCTTGTCTGAATTCGGTTGCCCCTCCTCCAGCGCAAAGCGCAGAAGCTTTGACATTTCATTAAATTATTAAAGAAAGAAGACGATTCGTTATACTCTTTCGATTCTTAATCCTTGTCTGAATTCAGTTTAATCCCCCTCCCCCTTCCCGCGCGAACCAAGGAAGCTTTGCCGTTTCATTAAATTAATAGAGAAAGAAGACGACTCGTTGTACTGTTTTCGACTATTGATCCTTGTCTGATCATTCGGTTGCCCTCCTCCCGCGTGAGGCGCGGAAGCTCTGAAGTTTCATTAAATTATTAGAGGAAGAAGACAATTCGTAGTTCTGTTTTCAATTTTTATTTTTTAAGTTCGCAATCGAACTTAAGCTGTGTTTGATACCAAGTACCTTCATATCAAATTTCATTAAAATCCGTCAAACATTACTAAAGTTATCGAACGGGAACCACATTCGCATATTTAATGAGCCATGACCTTTGACCTACATACTCCGAAATTGAACTTAAGCTGTGTTTGATGCCATGTACCTTCATTTCGAATTTCATTAAATGGAAATCAGATTTGTTACGAACGGAAGGACGGACGGCAGCGTTACTATAATCATAAATTTATCATCACAAGCATGATGATATTCAATGAGAGTCATGGAGAGACATGGAGAGAGAGGGGGGGGGGAGAAATAGGATAAAGGGACCGACAGACTGCTGGGGGGGGGGGAGAGATAGAAAGACAAGAGAAGATTGAAGAGAAAAAGGGTAAAATGAGAGAAATACGTACAAAGAGTTTTTCTTTTCTCACATAATCAAATCACTCTGTAGAGTTTATTAGGCAAATCACAATCGTGGTATTTGAATGTTTTTATGTCATGGTATTGAGAAAATTGTTGATAAAAATTGTCAAGATCATTATCCATGTGCTTATGAAATTACAGCAGCTACATGTATAATTAGTTCTGACGTCTTGGTATACAACAGAAATCAATGATTTCAATCGATTTTTTCATGTCACTTCAAACTACATGCATAATAACACATTTCGGTTTCAATAATAAGACAAATTCGTAGGTCACACATATTGTACAATGCGATCAGAGGAGGTTAAAAATCTGTAAGGATCTATCACATTAGTGTTCTTTACATTACTGTTCAATTGCTTTTTTTCTCGACATATTACCAGTTGCCCGGCTTATATTCCTCAAGTCAACGCCTTCCTTCATGCTAAGAATATCAGAACAAAAGAAGAGACAACTTCACTCAAAATGATTGTGTTGTAAGCTATATAACTCCCTTCCATTTAATATCAGTATCCATCAGTCATTCCACATATAATTATCCACAAGGGAATTAAAAAAAAAGATTTCCAGAAGCGACGATACAAACTTAAATGGTACGAAATGGAATGGAAGTTTGCAACAACACGTCTTCATAAAAAAACTCACAAACCTGAATATATACTCCCCATAGGACGATCATAAAAGCTGGGTATATTGTCATCAGCTTAGAACAAAAAACGGTGCTTTAAGTGCGTGAAGGGCTTTTACACGTAACATCATTTTGGATCCAGCTCAACATACATGCATGTATGACATTGTATAAATTAGTTACTACCTCGTTACATAAAGAACATACTTTTCATTGCAGCATTATTTTTCGTTCATCATCTTCATCTATTCAAAAGGTACATAGGGAAAATAGCTTTCAAAATAAAGCCTGCAGGCATTTATTGCAAAATTTGATGACTATCACACTCCCACATAATTGTACATTATCTACAATCGTCAATAAGATACAGTGAGAGAGAGAGGGGGAGAGAGAGAGGGGGAGAGGGAGAGAGAGGGGAGAGAAAGAGAGGGGAGAGAGGGGGAGAGAGAGAGAGAGGGAGAGGTAAAGGGGTGAGAGCAGAAAAAGTGGGCCAGAGACTTCACAAAAAGGAGAGTAAAATACATGTATGTATATTAATCATAGCTTTTGGTAAAAGTGAGTTGGATACCATATATTTAAAGACATAATTACAAGTAGTGAAACAGACTCTTATTAATTAAATTGCTCATAAATTTGGTGAATTTCCTTTTAAAATGCATTAGACTGTGTGCCTATAAAAATATACTGTACAAGTGAAAAGCTGAAAGGCACTTGTATTTCTAACAATGCCCTGCAAGTGTTGAATTAAGAACCAAGTCTTCTCTTACAATAAAAAACCTCACTTATGATTAACATACCACAATTACATGCAAAGTTTGACATGTGTCAAATTATGTGAAGTTCATGTTATTTTATTCATACGTAATAACTCAATATTTGGTAGTTTTTAGATAGTATTGCAGCACAAATTCTCCATAGAAATGTTACATCTTAGAGCTACTTAATGTTCTTTTTCATTAACTCCAGATGTAAAACAGCAACTGGTGAATGAAACAATAAAAATACAGCCATAGATAGGTGTGGAGTGAGCTAGATGTACTGTAATCCCTCAAGGTTATCTATTAGGACCTCTTTAGGCAACGGGGCAGAGGAGACGGATCTCTTTGACCTGAACCTTGAGGTGACCAGTCATGGACATTACAAGAACGGGGAGGTCAAGTGTGAATTTTTTGCCAGGCACAGCTTCTCCAGCCATGAACAGCATGTAGCGTTTCTCTGCGGAGTATAAGTACATGAAAATTCATGAATTTCGTTTACTGTGAGTTTACTAGAGCATTATGCACCTTCTGACATGAATTTTGACAATATTTATTACATCACGTAAGGGGGTTTCAAACCTCCTGCGCTCACGGTAGTCTGAATATGGATATTTTTTGTTCATGTAGTTTGAGTAGCGTTCAATACAGAGATGTGACATTCAAACATATACATTTACACTGACACACCTATCTGCATGAGGATTATAGAAATTATTACGTAAACTTATATTTACTGATTAGCGATCTCGAATTTCACTTGGTATTTATTTACTATTTGAAAAATCCATGCCAAATGTAAAAGTTAGTAATACTGAAAAAGCAACTACATCGGTGTGTTTCATCGAAATGCATAATACAAGAGTTTAAAGGTATTTCCTGAATCCTTATTTATCCCATACCAACCGTGCAATATTAAATAATTCCAATAACATTGCCTGTTGAAAGCCAGAAGGGCATTAATTCTATTAAAAAACGCTTCAGTCTCTTGGCCGATGAAGTCTGATGATTTAGATATATCTTACCTGCCAGTTCAAGGTTACAGACATCATTCGTGATAAATCCGATGATGGGACGATCAACTGCATACGGGTTGTCTAAATGTGTCAAATCATCCAGAATCTTGGCTCGTCCATCTGGCCTCATCTTGACGATGAAAACTTTCAAACAAACAAACATGAGGAGTAAAAAATTAAGTATTTCCTGCACATCTATACATGGACATATACATGAAGCTTGAATTAGTAGTTGTACACACAAAATAAGAATGTAAGATCTTTGTATGTTATACTGATTAATAGTTACACAATTTGAAGGGTTGAACATCAATATCATTCAATATCTCGTTCAAAGTGTCGTTGACAATGGTTGACCTAGTGATAAAGGTCGTACACAAAATCGATCAAGAAATTAGGAAGAAGTCAGACAAACTAACTAGCATTGTTGCAAAAGTGGTAGACTTTCAAGGATTTAAGCCTCGCTTCCACATGATGTAGTAAACGCCATGGATAAATAAAAACATTTAAAGTAAAAATGTACAACAGGTGAGGGTTAAAAAAGTATCTGCATGTTACAAGGTTCCCTTAGCCTACTTGAATATCTGGGGGTACATGTTTAGAATTGTGAAGTACGCTGTGCTCATGTAATTTCATTTTGTTGCAGCCACTTTTTTATAGGGCGATTTATCACTTTAGGTTTGAGTGATACTTTGACATTGGTATCAGAGTGAGTGAGAAATTGTGATAGTACTTACTGTTGTCAGAATCACAAATCTTCTGTTCGAGGTCATCCGGAGCAGTAGCTGTAACCACTGGACAAACTACTGTAGAGGAGAAAATAAAAATAGAATACTGAGGGAAAGAAATCAATGGACAGAGTGCAAATGTAGAACTTCAAGGTAAAGACCAGTATTGGAAATGCCCCAATTTCAAAAAAATGAAATAGAAGCTCTAATACCAAACATGTGAAAGAATATGTTTTGACTAATACATGATGATAAAAGATTTGCCAGGAAACCGCCTATTAATTGATATATTTGGTAAATTAGTTTATTTATTGGGATGTGATAGATATAACGCACGTGTCGCGCACGTGTACGTAGTCCCATATACATCTTTTTGTGTACGGTGTCAAGTAAATGTTATTTTCTTTTGAAGCAAACTCTTATTTTACAAATACGATGAATCCCCAAAGCACTTAATGTATGTAACAATATATATTAACATACCTGAATCACACAAATCTCCACTAAATCCTGGAGCACATGTACATGATTCGCTTTCACATGTACCTCCGTTCAGACATGGGTTGGTTCCGCTACAGTCAACAAAATAGAGCGCCGGTCCAACAACTGGGAGTTTAAGAAAGACGTGTTAAAGATTGTCAAATTAGATAGTAGTTAGACTAGGTTATAATACAAGCATAACATGGCATGACAATTATTTTTTTATTAATTTTTATATTATGCATGAAGACAAAATAAGTTTTTATATAAATTTTCAAATGAATGAATTTTCAAATATGCTTTGTTTACATAATTTAGAATGCAATAACTCATAAACCGCAGAAGGTCTGGGCATGAGACTATTGTTTCTAGAAGATATCTCTAATGGGACACTCTATATAAAGTTTGAAAATCATCCTGCAAGAAAAATATTTAGTGTGAATTTGTAAAATGATAAATTGGCCATGGAGTTTGTACAGGCGTGGGTGTTCTTGCCACATAGCGGATTTCAACTTTCACATTCTATGAAAAATTTAATTATGCTCTCGCCGTTCAATTTAAAATATTTGTCATATGTCTTGTAGAATATACTCTCAGCTATAACATACTAAAACATTTGGGGGGAATGACGATGAATAACGGCGATATGGTTCAATGAACATCAACAAATATCTAAAAAAAAAACAATGTAATCATCGAAATCTATATTTCTGACTTTGAAACAGAAAAATTAGAACTAATTATATCATTTACTATATAAATCTATATGTATATACCTATTATTTGCTAGTTTCCCTAAACTATGCAGCCATCAAGAACTTAAAACGTCACATTCGCGCATGCCCCACCCCAATATTTTGCCTTACCAGGGTCATGTGCGCAAATGCACGCCCACCATCTTCCTCTTAAAGATAAAGACCAGTTATGGTCATGCGATTAGAAACGTTGGTAAATCGATCAGAAAAGGTTGATCATCTAGCATAGATGTACTGCAAGGTTCTGGAATCATCAAAATGATAAGAAATTTGGCCCAGTCTTCATAAAGTTACAAGCACTGTACACAGAAAGATGTATATGGGACTACGCACACATGCGTTTGTATCTCTCACACACCAATAGATAAACTAATTTACCAAATATATCAATTAGTAGGGGGTTTCTCGGCAATTTTTTTATCATCATGTATTATTCAAAACATATTCTTTCACATGATTGGTAATAAGAGCTTCCATTTCATTTTTTGAAATTGGGGCGTTTCCAATACTGGTCTTTAACTTTAAACGAGCCGCCAGAGACAACGCTTCAAACATGTTGCAGGGCAAGGAGAGGGGACGGAGGGAGGGAAATAGGTATTACATAGATTTATCATCAAAGTAAGTAATACGCTAAGACTCCGCGGGGGCATGACGTCTCCGCGAGCCTTTGTATTCTATTGTTTTTTAATGAGATCGCCGACCGAAGTTGGTGCAGCTATCTCCTCCTGCCATCGTCCGCGGGAGAGTCTACTCTGTGGAATTGGCTATACTCCGCCCGAGGTCGTCCTCCGTGTCGACGTCCAGGGCGAAAATAGACGCGATATGCATAATGCATGATATGCGTGACGACATGCAGAGATACCTCATGCATATTCAACATTACATCCGTATCAAAGAGACACAGAACAGATGACCATCAACTCACATTATGTTGCGTATTAAATGCTCTATGCAAAGGGCGGGATTACCCCGAGTAAACCATCTTGCTATAGGATGTGCTTTGTACTAGCTGCACAAGCCAGAGAGATACACGGGGCTAATTCCCGTCGACGTCCAAACTTAGAGACCTATTTCCATCATGATTGCCGTGATTTTTATATAGTTTTTGTGAATGGAGGTATGAAATCAAAGCTTATTTTGTGATTATTACGGCCATGTTTAATGCATTTTGATTATCTTTTTCTAAAGGAAAGTTTTCACAAGAAAACCATTGGACTGACAGTTCAGTCGCAAGCTAACTTCTGTCAACACACGTACGGTATATGCGTATATAGGAGGGGGGGGGGGTCAGTTAAATCGCAGCGGGTTGAGTGTATATAGGCGTGGGGTCCACGGGTTTCAAGGGGCTATAAACCCCGAAAGCTCAGGGGTTTTAGGCATTTAATTAGGGTCAGATGAGCATATTTTTAATACTTTATTTGTGACACTGGCAGGTCACTAATTTGTGTGGGTCCATACGAAGATTTGCGTAGTGTTGCGTACCAACTACGCTGGCCTACGTTACTATATGCTGAGGGACGCAAAGGGGTACGCAAGATGGACGCAAACAATTCAACATGTTTAATTTTTTTCGCGTACTTTCGTCGTAGAAACTTGACACAGAAAGTACGCCTTTTTACGCAACACTACGCTATACTGTACGTCATGCCTACGCAACAGTGCGCTACCCTACGCCAGATCGACAAAGCAGTAAAAGCTTTCCACACAGTAAGCAATCGTAAGCAACGATAAGCAAACCTGTACGCCAGCCTACGCATAACCTACGCAAGGACTACAGTGAAGCAACATTTTTCCATTAATACGCTGCCTAATATATGCGTAGTTTGTACGCCACACTACGCAGTTCCAGTGTGAAAGAGGCTTAAAGAATAACTACCGGTAGAGTTTTTTTTTATGAATGGCAAATAAAGTTCTTGGTGGTTTTAATTAAGAGAGTCTCTATAATCTATTTACACCCCTCTCCCCCCTCTAGAATCCCGCGGATTTCCGCGGGTCCTGCTAGTATAGTAAATAATAAAATTAGTTCTAATTTTTCTGATTTACCTCAATAAATCAATGTATCTACCTATTATTTGCTAGACCAGCACAGATAAGCCTGGGAGGCATGTCCCAAGTAGAAGGGGATTAATGGGGATTAATGGCAGACAAGGCCACACTCAGGGACGAAGACGCGAACAGTACCTCCCTTAGAAGAAACGTCCCAGAGATAAAAACGAAGCACGAGAAACGAGAGACTGCCAAAAGGTGGCCTCCAAAAGATCCTTTAGCCCAATACCTCGAAAAAGAGCCCAGGAAGAACCGATGCTTCTATGGTATCGCGGGCTCAGGCCTTGCCCCCCAGGAGGGCCTAAAGGCCAACAGCCCGTACGGCTCCGACAATCCATCTGGAAATGAAACCTCGGACGCAGTGGAAAAAAGTCCCCAGGTAACGAGAAAGAACTGGACGCCCTCATGAAACTCTTGGACCTGTCTAAGTACCATTTAAAAATCCTCACCAGGCACCATGCAGACTTAGTCCTCCTTGACCCAGGACAAGACAAAGAGAGGGTTGAGGAAAACCTCACCTGGCCCAGAGGAAACCATCTGGTCTTAGCCAAAAGGAGGGCCTGGGTCCAAGTCCAAAGCGTCGTCTCTCCCACCGAACAGGGTTAAACTGGACCGGGGTCCGGGTCACCCGAGTCCAAGGACCAGACAGAGTCGATCGCGTCCGAGGAAGGGCCGTACCAGTCGGCCGAGAGGCTAGGGGCTTAGCCCACCTGCTTTCCACAGCAAAGTATTCGAGAGGCTCAGATTGATTGACCGCCCCAGAGAAGGGGTGGCGTCTGAAAAAAGGTCCTACCCTTCTTCCCAGTCTTAGTCTAATGTGTGCTCGAGGCAGACTTTGACTCACAAAGAGACGTGGCTGAAAGATACTTCTTTGACTACTTGCGGGTGGAGCTCGCCGGCAGAGAAGTCGGCACCTTGGCCTCACCCGATGGGTCTTGCTCAGCAGAGCTCTAAAAGGCTCGTCTGAGACAGGGGAACTGGCCCCTGAGTGACTGTGGCTGCACAAACACTAGCTGCATGAGTTACTCAGGGCTTTCAGATGATCTTTTACGGCTGGCAATCACCCGTCACGGGCGACCGAGAGCCAGATCTACCTAGAACCGATCCAAAACCGAACCGTATGTCTACGCGTCCGGATACGGGATATGATATCCGAATCGGCAATCTGGACTGAACAAAATAACAGCTAACCAGGCTTTCGGACGGTCTCGTACTCCTTGCGGGCGGGATCGACCGCCATCAGAGGAGTCGACATATTGGACAGGCCCTGCAGAGCATGGCTGTCGGATATTTTGAATAGTTTGTAAGACAGACCAAACTGTGCCAAAAAGGATAATTTGATACAAGTGACTTAGCTGTCTACATGTTCTCTTGGCGTGCGAGAAAAGAAGAGGTGGGCGTGCGCTTGCGCATGTGACCCTTGGAAGGCGATGTTTTGGGGTGGCCTGCGCGGATGTGACGGAAGTTCTCGATGGCTGCGTAGCTTAGGGAAACTAGCAAACAATATATAGGTAAATACATTGATTTATTGAGGTTAATTCTTATCTACAACTCATACTCTATCCAAATATGACAATAAATTTGGGAGTTCATGGACTTGATTAAGAGGTATAATCGATTCAACATAAACATATTTCCGACCATTTTCAGATTTTGGCGAATTAAAGCCGGCATAAATTGTTATCTTTAACTCGTTTGTATGACATCATTTATGGCGAGTTAGGAAGATATGATTGATAATACAATTTCACAAAATGGATCCTGGATGATTTCAAGGTTGAGTGATCACACTGAGAGGGAAAGGTTTGTCTATTTTTGACCAAGGGGAATTAGTGGAAAATGTAATGGTGATCGAGCGGTGCGTTTATTTAGAAAATCTGACCATAAAAATGTACAGAAAGAAAGAATATAACGATAAAGAATAAAGATTCTGACAAAATCAAGAGGGGATCTGCAGATCTGCTGCAGATCACCTAAAAGGAGCTTCCATGAATAGAACATTGACCCCTGTTTACAGAAGTGAAAAGTAATCTGGGATTGCTGAAACAAAAATGTCATCTTTGTATGCAACCTACAAAGACAAGGCATGCCTATATTGGACAATCTTTGCCTCCCCCTTCCACAGTGCTCACCTGATTGCTGTGTTCGGAGGGTGATGACTGGACTGCTGGCGCCCTCGCCTGTCTCAGAGCGGGCAGCCAGGCGGATGTGGTAGAGGGTGTTGGGTCGGAGGTCGTCTAGGACGTAGTCGGTGGTGGGGGTGATGGTCTTGTGCATGTTAGAGGTAGAGACGTTGTAGTAGAGCTCATAGCGGACGATCTGGGGCTCCGTATCATGCATCATCCACGTCAGACGGATCTGGAAGGCAGATATGGCCACTCCTTCAAACTGCTCTGGCTGACTTGGCACTGAAGGATAAGGTAAAGAGAAGTATGTGAATCGATTGATGAGATTTCAGGATTCATTGATATGAATCATCAGCGAATGCAAAATACATTTGCTACGATTTTATGAATGCTACATTTAGAGATCAATACAAAAGTGAAAGTAATATTATTAGTTTCTCTCAGCTTAAAAGTGCAAGAAGCCAACTCTCAAGTGATCTCTTTCCATGCATCTATACCTTGAGGTATTTGTCTTTTGATCAATCCACATATCTGGTTTTCTTTATCTATCAACTATCTTCCTATCTATCAATGTATCTACATGTATCTGTACCTCATCCAAACATCCATCTATTCACTTAAAGGAAACCAAAACCTTCATAATAAGTTACTTTTATTGTAAAGTTTAAAAGATTTGAATAAAATCAGTGAAAATTTGAACAAAATCGGGCAAGGAATAAGAAAGTTAGAGCATTTTGAAATGACTAGTCACTAGAGGGCGGTATTCAATTTGATGACATCATCTATAAACAACTCTCCATGCCTTTTGTACATAAAACTTCACAATTGTTTTGCTTTCTTCATATTTATTTGTGTTCTTGATCCGACTTCATAACATGTGAAGTAGAATATCATTTTGCATTCTATATCTTGCTTTCAGGGGAGTACATTATCTCAATCACAAGAAAGAAGGAAAAACATGAAATTTGATGTACAAAAGGCATGGAGAGTTGTCCACAGATGATGTCATCAAATTGAATACCGCCCTCTAGTGACTAGTCATTTCAAAAAGCTCTTACTTCCTTATTCCTTGCCCGATTTTGTTCAAATTTTCACTGATATTTTTCAAATATCTTAAACTTTACAATAAAAGTAACTTAGTATGAAGGTTTTGGTTTCCTTTAACTACCTGTCTGTCATTTTTCCAATATCAATACATCTATTCATCAATCTATCTACTGCCCATGTAAATACCCAACAATTCATCCATCCAATAATCCCTGTTAGCTACTCACCTCCTTGCTGTGTCTTGACCTGTATTGGTGGCGAGGCCGGTCCCTCCCCCTTCACGGTGAAGGCGGACACGCTGACCGAGTAGATCTGCATGGTCACCAGATCACTGATGGTGGTCAAGGAGCGGCTAGCGTCTACCGAGACGTGGAACCACGACTCGGGATCGCTGTTGGGGTCGGTGGTGTAGAAGACGTTGTACCCCTTGAGGACACCGTTGGGCGTGGTGGGTGCGCTCCACTGGATGATGATGGTGCTGTCGCTGGTAGGGCGTGCCCGGACTTCTATGGGCGGAGAACCAGGCACTGCAAGAGAGAGAGGGAGAGAGAGAGTAAAGGTGAGTTTGTAAGTTTTCTGAGTTGGCAAGAAGGGCTTAAACTTTATTAATTCTGCAGAATGTAATGCCCTACTGGCTCTCAAAAGATGGGATCAGGGTAAGTCATTAAGAAAGACAAGTAGCATGACGTGTTTGAAAATGTAAACAGTATTATTATTTGAAATGTCGTCTTAAAAATGATAATAGGGACTTTTAGATTTACACGACGAGAGCGTGGACTGCCGCGTGTGACATTGTGTTAAGGCACTTGGCCGTGCCCGGCAGTGCCTTAAAAGGATGTCACACGTGGCGGTCCACGTTCTCGTCGTGTAAATCTAAAAGTCCCTACTAAATTTGTGATTATTCTTTCAGGGGAAAAGGTAGCCATTTTCCCCTAAAAGTTTTGATTTTTTTCAGCCTGCCTATGGAGATTGCACTGTTTTTCCCCTTTTTTACGGCACTGCCAACCAGTCGGCAAATCTCCCATGAGTGACGTATAAACAAATCTTCGGACGGATTCAGAAACCTTTACGTCTCACATTTACGTTGATATAACGATTGTTTTCATTCGTGGAGAGGAAACAGTAGCACTTTTTCAACCAATAAAAAGTAGCTTTGTTATAATAAATCAAGGTGGCTGGGATAGTTAGGCGCTAGCTATGCTTGACGAGTGCGCCCGTACGAACAAAAAACAGTATAGCTACACTTGCAATTAACGTGGTGCGTACAGAGTGTGTGCGTTGCGCTCAAACTCTCGGAGACCACAATGATTGTTTGGAATCTTGTTCTATTAATGTGTATACACGTGTACCCGAATGGGCTATTGCACTCCGACTATAGGGAATTAGTCAGTATAATCAGTGGCAGAGGGAAGGAGTTCGATTTCGTCTACGGTGTGATGGCATGCTTCTGCTGGTGTAGTCTATACCGTCATTTTGCATTTTTTGTAACTATAGGTGAGTTTCATTAATAATTCAGTTTCTTAGTGTTAGTAATTAGTAGTCAACGAGAGCAAGCGCTCGCACCCCCGCTCTGCCGCATTGGACTAGTTCGATCAGTGAAGCTCAATTCCTCAATGATTAGGACCCACTGTCTCCTAGCTAGTTTTCATAACTGTTTATCTGCTGCAGTTGGAACCACAGACTGCCATTGCATCAGTATTTCGGTACATATCACTGTACGTGTGATAAAGTATACTACATTGGCTGTCCATTTTTTGTTGGTGCTATTACACAACGAAAGCAAGTAAAGAGTTAAAGATAAACTTTAGTACTGGTAATGCGATTGCATTGTGAAAGAAAAGGTGTGGAAAGGATCAGAAACAGTTGATCATGTAGCATGTAAGTATTGGTGTGCACTGCAAGGTTCTGGAGTCATCAAAATCATAATAAATTTGACCGAGTCTTGGTAAAGTAACAAGCACTGTACACAGAAAGCTTTATATGGGACAACACACATGGTGCCGGGGCTAGTACTACCTTGATTTCCTTGTCTTTCTATGCTCATTACTTAGCCAGTATACATTTTCTTCCAAAATTGTTTGGCACATGTCATTTATTTGTAATCTTGAACATTCAGTGTAAGTTTCGTTTGATTCTGTGAGAATTAATTTTCTCTTTTTTACCAGAACTGGAGTTTATCTTTAATGTCAGAAAAAATACTATGCCAAAAGATGCAACTGAATACACCCGAAACCGATTTTAAAATATTTTGGACTTCAGTATTGAATAAATACAAGTTCAAAATCATTGTAAACTTGTTACCATCTTCTCCTGTCATGGCAGTGGCTTCAGCGCTCGGGTTGCTCCTCCCGATGGTGTTGACTGCGAGGAGGCGTACGGCGTACTCTGTATACGGCAGAAGGCCTTCTATGGTGAAGAAAGTGCCTTGCTCGGAAGGTATCTCCACTTCGGTGAAGGAGCCGCCTGATCGGCTGGGCTTGTACTCCAGGACATGGGAGGTGACCGTGTCACTGGGCAGGGTGCTCCACTCCACGGTCAGGGAGGAGGAGGTGTAGCCTGTCACCACGGGTGAGTTTGGTACGCTGGGGCGTGCTGGGGTGGAAGAGTCAAACAATTTGATTGAATAAACAATAATAATTTATTAATTTATATAGCGCAGCTATATACAAATATACTCTACTGCGCTATGATGAAAACAAAACTCCCAACAGTGTTATTTTATAGACATACAATAAAAACTATTCAAAAGCTCCTGAAAACAAGCGCGTCTTCAACACAACTTTGAAGACGCACTTGAAGATTTTATTGAATTTTATTATGTCTGAGCCTTCACTATAAAAGAATTAATACCAGATTGAAACAGTCTAGACAGAATTTGGCCATAGAATTTGCAATATTTCAATATTGGCCGTAACACAGAGTCATTATGCTGCAAAATAATAACCTATGGTTTTCCTACGATACTTCATCTAGGCATCCCAGGTCTCCACTATATCACTGTTTGGTGGATGCATAGGCATATTGACAAGAGGCATACACCCTGAATATTCTAATTTATTGGAAGTTCTGCTTTGCACCAGAAACATCGGTTCCTGGCAAAAAACAGGAGCAGGGCATATGTTGCTATATTTACAATATTCTACTGATATTTCAGCTGTAAGTCATGCAATCAAATGTTCCCGAAACTCACTTCTCACAGTGACTCTAGCTAAGGTTTCTATGGTCCCCAGCAAGCTGGTTGCTACACAGGTGTAGTTGCCTGACTCGTAGATGTCCCTCAGCTGCAGGACGTTGCGCCCGATTGGGAGACCGTCCATGTCGTCCAGGTCCATATCTGCTTTCATCCACCGTACCCTAGGCATCGGGGAGCCGTAGGCAGCACAGGTCAGGTTGACGCTGCCTCCTGGTACCACCTCCTGGTTCACAGGCAGGATGGTAAAGCGAGGCTCCACTCGACGATCTGAGGGTAGGACAAGAATGGTAATTAATACACTGTATCAAAGACAACAGACCACTTCTTAATGTAACTCAATGATGCACAAAAAGAGTACATAGTTTCCAAGTGCAAGTTGTATCCCCCAACATAGGAAAGAGGATGATTCAATCCAGTATCGAAGATAAAGACTGGAAAAATAAATTTGATGAATGAAAGAAATTTTAAGCAGATTATAAGCATCAAGATACAACACTCCATTTCTATAACTACTTTAATGATGTAAAGAAACAAAGTATATGGAAATATTTACGCTGATTGTACCATTTATGGGTTTAAATCTTTAGGGCTTCCATGCCTGCGATCAACACAACACAGTCCTTTCCTCATTCTTCCACAGATACATCATGAAAAGGTATGCTACATCAATTGGGCAAAGGAGATTTAAAAACTTCACACCTTTATGGCTGTAGGCAAGCATACAAGTGGGTTCTCTACACTCTTATGCCTGACATGATTCTTATATATTTTAATAACTAATATTTGTAATTTTAAAAAAAGAAGAAAAAGAATCATTTGGTAACGGAACTTACCTTTGACATAGACTTGAGCCTCCGCAGAGTAGCGTGTTCCCAGAGAGTTCTTCGCGGCACACTCATAGCGACCCTGGTCAGACAGCAGAACTCTGGAAAACTGAAGGCCCGCTGGTAGTAGCAAAAGAAAGAGGAGGAACAAAAAAAAAAGAAATTAGTTTGATTGATTGATTGTTCAAGATTTACATATACTTGCAGCTCTACAACAAAACAGGAAGATACAATTCCATACGTTGCTTTAGAATAAAGAAATAGGTAAAATATTAGCTGATGTTTTTCACCTTAAAGATACTCCCTTAAATTTGCATCAAATTCTGTAGAACTTTGCAGGAATTATGAATATGTCATTTATTTCCTATCTGTGAAATTTAAATGTTAACTGTGTGCTGGTATTCAAATTATGCAAGGAAATCCGTTTACTTTCTAGACTTCCCTGTCAGACACTATGAGTGACTGACTGAAATCTGTTTTCCTTTGGTAAATAACATACATAAAATGAGTTGTAACAGGTCATATCCGGACACCTACCCACTGGACATCCACCCCCGGATCAGGCGCGGATCCAGGATTTCATAGGGGAGGGGGCCCAACTTTCTTTTTTTTTTTGCTCCCGAAAATTTGAAAAACGCGCCGGCCGAAAAGTCGCTCAGTGGGGGGGGGGGGGGTGTAGTGAGCACTATTTAAAAAAAAAAAATTTTTGCTCCCAAAAAGTCGCTCAGTGGGGGGGGGGGGGTTCTGCCACTGCCCTGGATAACCACCCACAGTCAACTACCCCCTAGGGCAACCACCCTCTAGGACGACTACCCCCAAGGACAACTACCCCAAGATAACTACCGTTTAGGATAATTGTCCCGGTGGTACATGAGCATTTTTCTACACCAACAACCCACTACTTGTAGTCGCATAACATGTACAACCATTTGGTACAATAGTCTGAAAAATCAGACTATTATTTAGGTGACTGCAATCACTTATGTCGATTCGACAACTAATGGTCGTTATTTTCCCACAAAAAGCTATTTTCAAACCCTTTGTTTTGAGGGAAGTTCTAAATAAGTATTGTCTTTCAGATGCAGTTGGAATTGAACCTTTTTATTTGTTTGACCTGCAAATGGGACATAGTACCTTCAATGTTGTGGTCGACAGGTTTTCATACTTTCTATCTTTGCTTTTGTAAGTAATTTTCTTCATGCTTCTGATTCCAGAAAAAACGAAACCGAGAATTATCGATGTTTTATCATTAAAAAAAAACTTAGTCACATTTATAATTAATGAATGACACATATTTGGAAAGCTTAGATCCTCCTCTTTCATTTGCTGCAACTCAGTCATTTGGCGGACAGTATCTGAATTTCAAGGACTGAAAACAAATTTGTTTGACAAAATTATGGAAATGCAAGCACTACTTTAGACAAACACAACTTTGTCATTCCTTGCTCATTTTTCCTGATTGAGGTGTCATGTGAAAGGGCAGAAACCCAACTTTCTAGAAATGTGATTTTCTCCTTGAAATTCAAATACCGTCCGCCAAATGACTTTTTGGTTTCCATACTTCAAATTCATTTTAATCACTCATGCATGAAATATGCATCATATGAGTTGCATCAAATGAAAGAGGAAGATCTAAGCCTTCCAAATATGTGTCATTTGTTAATTATAAATGTGACTAAGTTTTTTTTTAATGATAAAACATCAATAATTCTCGGTTTCGTTTTTTCTGGGACGCACTGTATATGTACCATGTAAAAATCACAGATTGAGGAGCAAATTCATCTCATTGACATATACATGTATGAACTAAAATATGGAAGTAAATAAATGTCCCATATAATTACCTCAAGAATTAATGACGATCCAATTATTCTATCTCTTTTTCTTATACTGATCTATACAAATTCTCAGGAGTATTAGTTCATCAAATTAAAGTGAAAAAAAGAAAAGAAAATTCTACATCAAATCAATAATAAGGCACTGCATATATAGATATGGATGCAATAATCCTTTCACACCCCACTCCAATATTTAACTAAATAAAATTCACAAATAACATCAGCACACACAGCGCTAAAACTACACAATTCCTAAAAGTATAAGCCATTTCAGTATTTTTGATGAAATTGAACATATATTTTCTTTCAGCTGAATTGTTCCTCAAAGGTACTATGTCCCACTTGCAGGCCAAAAAATGAAAAGGTTAAATTCCAACGGTATTTGAAAGATAATACTAATTCAGAACTTCCCTAAAAAAGGGAAGGGGGGCTTGGGTATGTCTTTAAGTGGGAAAATAACGACTATTAGTTGTCGAATCGACTTAAGTGCTACCAAGTCAGTAAGTAATAGTCCGATTTTCAGACTATTGTACCGAGTGGTTGTACTTTTTGTGCTGCCGAAGATTCAATCAGTTTTATTTTGGCCATTACAAGAAGTGGGTTATTGTTGACAAATGCTCATGTACCCTTTACAGCTCATTTTATGTATGTTATTATCACAGAAGAAAAAAGCCAGTCAGTCACTCAATAGTGTCTGACAGTGAAGTCTAGCAAGTTAACTGGTTTCCTTGCATAATTTGAATATTAGGACCCTGCTCACGTTTAAATTTCACAGATAAAACATACATGACATATTCATAATTCCTGCAAAGTTCTACAGAATTTGATGTTGGCTGCAAAAGGGACATAATATCTTTAAAACCTTGTTCTGCTACAATGAGTTAGTGTGGGCAGAGTGCAACTGACAAATGTATTGTAGACTCGTGGTTTTGTTCATGCTAATGAGCTTTCTTTGAAGAGAGCTAAGCACTTGCTAAACAAAGGTAACAGACAGTTAGTCAGAAAAATTACTACAAGATCAGGAAAAACAGAAAAAACATAACATAAGAAAAAAGCACCCGGTCCGGACGGCCTCTCATCTGTGTTACTGAAGGAAACCGCACTTGTGTCATGCCATATCTTACAACGCATCTCTAGCCTTAGGTAAAGTTCCAACCTCTTGGAAATCTGCTAACATCACCCCTGTTTTTAAAGCCGGTGATAAATCCTGTCCATCCAATTACCGTCCTGTTGCATTGACATCCCTAGCCAGTAAGATCATGGAGTCCTTCGTTGCTAAAGCCATACGGAGCCACTGTGATTCTACTTGTCCAATCACCAATGTGCAGCATGGTTTTCAGAAAGGGAAATCATGTGTAACTCAAGTCTTGCATCTAACTAATGATTGGTTGCACTGTCTCGAAGGTCCCTCCTCTTGCCCAGTAGATGTCATCTCACTTGACTTTTCGCGAGCGTTTGATAAAATGCCACACGACATCCTGCTCAACAAGCTATCACTGCAGTACAACATAGGCGGAAATCTATGGCATTGGATCAAGTCGTTAGTATGTGGTCGTCAACAGAGAGTGATCATCAGAGGTGCATCTTCTCAGTGGGGTGGTGTACCCTCAGGGGTACCCCAAGGGAGCATTGTTGGCCCCCTGTTCTTCAACCTTTTTGTTAATGATATTCCGGACTGTGTGTCTTCTAGGTGTGCTATGTTTGCAGACGACACTCTAATTTATCGTCCAATCAGGTGTGCTGACGACTCCCGTGCTCTCCAATGTGATCTGGACAATGTATTGATATGGTGTTCGAGAAATCGAATGGAACTAAATGCAAAGAAAACAAAAGTAATGCGGATAGCAGGAATGAAGAAGAAAAATGTCAGTCTTCCATCTTACCATGTAAACGTAGATTCTGTAGAGGTTGTAGGTGAAATGAAGTATCTAGGGATAATATTAAACCACAAACTTTCCTGGGATAGTCATGTCGTTTATATCATCTGCCGTGCAAATAGAATGCTAGGTTTACTTACCTCTCTTTCTTCCGGTCTCTCCTCCTCAGCAATATTTGCTCTATACAAATCATTGGTTCTCCCGATACTCGAGTATGGATTACCTGCGTGGAATCCTTACAATAGCTGTCTTTCTGACAGATTAGAAAGCATCCAACGCCGCGCAACCCGTCTTATCCTAAAACAACAACGGCAACAAATGTCATACCAAAATCGACTGAAATTGTTGAACTGGCAAAGTTTGAAGTCTCGCCGCACCTTCCTCATCATTACCTTTGTAGCCAAGTCCCTTCTCCGTCTCACTTCTTGTGAAGATGTTCAAGCTAGCATACACGTGGTTGCAAGGCGTCTGGATGATCTTCGTTTTAAACATCTTCGTGCTCGCACTCAGCGACTAGCCAATACTGCACTATTTCTTTTCCCGATTCTATGGGACAGTTTGCCTATTAGTTTACGTAATGACCTTATCTTAGTAAACTTCGTCAATTGGAAACAAAGCCTCAAAACTCACCTCTCATCCCTCGACATCAGTGTATAAAGCTGATACAGGCATTCTCAATTCAATAATTTCAATGTAAGTTTTATTTATAAATTATGTGTACAATCTAATACGCGATATAAGTCCGAAACATGATTCCATCTTATTTCAAATTTGTTTAATGCAATATTTTGATAACATTTAATTAGGTAAATGTAAACCATGGTATTATAACCGGGTATATCATTAAACTTGTGAACCTTCTTATGTAATACATGTATATAATGTGTACTTAATTTTTATATTGGCTTACATTTGCTCTTTCCTCTCATTTCTTTTTTATGTTATTGTTTATCCTTGATTTGTTACTCTCTTTATTGTCCGTATGCTGTGTTTTTTAACTTCTGTGTCTTCTGCACTCAGTTGGACCTCAATTTCCAATTCAATTATCTCAATTTCAATTTCATTTATATAATATGTGATCAATCAGATATGTGTCATAAGTCCGGATAATAGTTTCATTTTATTTTAAAGTTATTTAATATACATGTAATACTTTGATAGCATTTAATCAGGTAAAGAAAACCCCAGTATAAATATTGAACATGCTAATTACATTATATTTCTATGAAGAGTCAATGCTATTATGTTATTGAAATTGTACATTTGTAATATGTTATTGAAATTGCAAATTTGTAATATGTTATCTATAATTTCTATGTTGGCGTTACATATGCTCGTGCCTCGCCTTTCTTTATATTTTTATTGTTTATCCTTGATTTGTTACTGTCTTATTTGTCCTCATGCTATATTTTTACCAGTCTTCTGAGTGCATCAGTTGGTTGGGCGGAGGGACCTTCACGGTTACAGTAATTAAGTTTGCTCTCTTCTTCCCTGGCCGCCATCTTTTGCACTCAGAATATTGCTACAAAAATTTGTATTTGCACATTTTTTGTCATTCCAATTTTGTATTTACCATGTTTATATTGTTAAATTGTTATATTTCTTGAAAGTGCCGAATAAATAATACAATACAATACAAAAAACATGGCAAGATGTGCGCACGTTCGCTTAAGCCTATAAAACAGCCAGGCCTCTCAAAGCAGTCGATATCTCTTCACTATACATTTATACAGAAAGACCGTAGAGATTTAAGAAGAGTTTTCAAGCCCTGTGCTTTTCAGGCTCAAGCCAATTTACGGTGCTAGGGACTTAGAGATGAACTTCATTTCAAGAGAAGCCAAACTCGCATTCACATTGCTGTATACAATCCAGTTTTCTAAATACAACAGGGCTCATGATGACTCTGGTTCAAGAACTACAGCAATAGCGTGGGAGCACATATTCTTTCCTATTAGAAGCAATTTTCTTTTAAATAAAAGAAACCCCTGGAGGAAAACATGGGCTCTTATCTCTATCACAACATCCTATCTCTCTATAATGAAATATTTTGTAGTATTTGATATTCTCAAAATCTTCTTTTTTAAAATAATTTTTCATTTCATTTCTAAAAATTATCAATATGAAGTTTTACATTGAAGCAGGTGACCTTCCATTACATCTACCAATTGAAAAGTTGAGTTTATCTTGACCCCCAATTTGTGCAAACGACTCTTAATTCTTTATCAGCTGCATTGTCTCATCACTGAATTATGAAAGATTTTATGCAAATGATTATCACATCTTCACTTCTCTCTTCCTCTTCCATTCTTTAAAACAAAATTATTGGTCACATATTACAACTTACAATCCGTTATGGAGATCCTGTCATTAGTTTCGATGGGTACAAATTCCTTGAACCACAGGATCTCAGGCTCAGGGTTGCCGGTGGCTCCACAGTAGATGGTCGCCGGTTGGTTGTTCTCCACCACCATGTAGCGTCTCGGGTTGGACGTCTCGGGATAGCCCGCTGGAAGACTGTCAGCTGCAGAAATTAAATGAAGTAGAGAGAAAGAGAAAGAGAGGAGAAAAACAAAGCTATGGTCAATAAAATTAAACAAGGGAAACGCTCTTGGCGGTCTCGCCTGCATTACGCAATTTGGTATGATGAAAAATTGAGGTTGGGACATTATTTATAGGCAGGGTGGCCCAATAGCAGGCCGCCAAAAATGAAATCCTCTGAATATAATCAAAATTATACTTTCAACATGATGATAAAATTCAAAATCTTAACCTGATGCCACAACATAGTCTAAGTTTGTTGACCTGAAATGACCTTTGACCTTGACTTTGTGACCTGTTGGGGATACTTGATAGCCCTTTAGTCTAAGTTTCATTGAATAAGAACTTATACTTTCAAAATTATATTAAAAATTCAAAAACTTAACATTGGTTAAGTTTTTGATGTTGACGCCGTCGCCGCCGTAGTCTAGTTCTGGACCCTAGACCTATATCGATTTTTGTTATTCGCCGACTATGAACGTTAAGCCGAGTGATGGCGCGATCCTTAGTGACTGTGATATCCCCGAAAACCGCGCTGGAATAGGACGGCCATGCATTATGACTCGAGGCATGGGCACACAGAGAATTTGTTTATATTGGGAACCGGGGTAAAATGCAATAAATTATTGAAAAATTATTGCATTTTCTATGTTTCTTTTTTATTTATGGAAACTGCCCCCTACCCTAGCCCCCGCTGCGTACAGTCATGGTTTAGTGACAAAGCAATGGCCTCGTGACTGTGAGGCTCCAGGATCAAAACCGTGTCGATGTGCTATATTAGTGCCCTTTTGAGCGGCATTAATCCTCATTACTGTCATTTATGGCTTAAGGGCGTAGGTCCCCTAGTTGATAAGCATAGTAGCATACACATGCTTTGGCAATCACGCAAAACACACATTGCCAAATTATTATTCAATAAAATCTGAGAATGTATACTATTATCTAGATCTATTATTTTTAAATTATTTTTAAAATAATTTTATTAATTTGGGTAAAACAAAAATATTCCAACTTTATGAGCGACAGTGTACAATGAAATACTTGACTGAAAGTAGGGGAGTTTGATATGGTGCACAATTGCACCCCTCTGTAAATAATCGAATAGTCCATGGTGTGTCATGAATATCCATGTTTTTGCTTACCTCAGCAAAATGTTTGCCTATACTCAATGGGAAAATCACGGTGGGGGTTGGCTGAAGTAGACATAATGAACCAAGCAATATCAAATAGGCAAGAACATTCCATCAAAAGCACCCCTCTAATCACCAATGCCCCTGAACAAAATAGGATGGCTGAATGAGTGCTGATATTTTGTTCTTTCTGGAAGCTCTACTAAAAATGTGTTTGTTTCAAGAAAACTTGGAGGACTGTTCCAGTATTCATTATAACATTTGCCCATAGCCAATTCTGTTTAAGTGTTGCATGGATATCCTAACTAAAATGTGCAATCTTTTTGTCTTACTACTCAACGTTATTCAACTGCATGATATTCTTATGGTGGAGATCAGGTTGGGATCACAATTGAAAATGGGCAGTGAAATGTAAAGAACTAAAATAGAAAAAGGACGATTAATTATTAACCAAACATGAGAGCATCATCAAACTCAACACCATCTGCGCATTGAAGAAAGGTTCTATGCTTTATGAATATAGAAGGGCTGAAAGAGACAATTTAAATTTGTGTGGGAATAAAAAGTTTCCTCTCAATTGGGTACCTAAAAATGTAATGTTACATTGACAAACTCAGCAGCTGCTATTCTTTCATATACCCACATCATTTGAAATATGAATAAAAGAATTTTACAGTAACAATAGGATTAACTCTCATGAGGGGGGACTGGGAGCCCCCCCCCCCCCCTCGACATTTTCGGAGATCGCGCCGCAACCGCTTGGAATTTTGAATTGTTGTTTCACAACTTTTTTTCCTCAAGTCTTGCGCACATTTTAATATCATTTTCGTCAAAATCGGATATACCTGTAAGGTGTTACATAACAATTAGTATGCGCATGTCATCAAAAAAATGCTATAATTGCATACATTCATGTACAAGCAGAAATGTGAAGATATGAATTGATATCAAATTGCTTTTATATGCTTCTTAGAGTAACTTAGTGTATTCCAGAACAAAAGAATACATTAGAAATAAAACAATAGATATAATAAGAAATTTAAAAAAATTAATAAAATACATAAGAAAATAAATAGTTGAAAATTGCATCAAATTTGGATAAATTATCATTATTAATTACATCAAATAACTATTTTGTGTTAGAAAAGAAGTTTCAAATGAATAATGAGTTTCAACATTCAAAAAGTTGAGTCTGGCAATTTTTGTTGTGATTCTAGTTCCCTAAATATAGTTCCAGATTTGATATTCATGAATGCGTAATTTGCGTATTCATAATTTATGCAAATTAACCTATGTATTTTCAAATATCATAAAAATAATGAAACCTCATGAATTTGAGATGAAGGAAACATTTATTCAATGCATTTTCAAGATTCTTCACAAGTCTACGGACAAATATGTAGAGTTTTCTGTAAAATGCATAAAATTAGCATTTTGCATAATTAATTAGGCTATAACGACAAAAATTTGCATATTAGGAAAAAAGTAATTATACCATCTTGTTCCTTTAATACGTAAATATCTACAAATATGCAAATTTTCGTGTTCATCGGACATTCGACGGCTGAGATCATAGGGGGGGGGGGCCTCTCAGGCCCCCCCCCCCCCCCCAGTCAGAGGGTACTCAAAATAGCCCAGTACAGTAAGGGTTAATGGTGGCCAACGTGAGTGCATGCTTATAGTGGCGCTTAAAGGCTACATGTCAATTAGGTTCGATTTAATTAGAAGGGGGCCGTCCGGTCTAGCCATAACACCTCATTAAGGCAACATATAGTTCAGCATTAGGTCACAACGATAGATGTACTCTCATATCACTGGATATACTATCATATGGTGGCTCCTAAGGGACACGCAAACGCAAAATTTGACGTATACCTATGCAACAAATTTGTGGATTTTAACGTCAAAGACGTGAAAATCCACAAATTTGACGTATACCCACATGTACATGTATGCAACAAATTTATGGATGTTCACGTCAAAGACGTGAAAATCCACAAATTTGACGTATACCTTTGCTGGGTAATTGTTTCGTTTTTCTGTACTCAATGGCCAATATTCGCGTCAGCGTGTCCCTTTTGGGCCGACGCAGACGTATATATTTGACGTATACCTATGCAACAAATTTGTGGATTTTCACGTCAAAGACGTGAAAATCCACAAAGTTGGGGCTGGGTCACCCGTCGCCTTGCAGTAGAACGTTGCAGCGCCTTCATCTATACCACTCTCGTCTGTCAGACCAAATGTCTGAATATCCTTTTTATTCCAATTTTCTTGAGATAGTGGACAATAGGCTATTCACATGTGCTCAAGCAACAATCGCTCTGGCCTATATTTCATCAAAAGATTTAGGGTTTAGGATAAAGACTATAGGCTCCTCATGAAGGTCCTGTTTTGTAATGAAGTTGCGATTTAATTACAAATAATTTGCAAATGATATCAACTGCAAATTATATGTGATCAATCACATCTCTTTCAAGACGAAGAACCAGGTGGCAAGTGTAGTAGGGTTAGGCTTGGGTATAATCATGTCTGGTGACTGGTCCAAGGTTGAAGTTAGTCTAGGGTCCTGACCATGGATGAATTGTCACCGGAACACGTGTCATGAAACCTGAATATAACCCTGATTCAGACTATTACCTTGAGTGACAGTAAGCCTGGCCTGTGTTGTGGCTGTCCCATCGTCATTGCTTGCTTCACACACCACCGCCAGGTCGTTGTCTCGATCAAGCCGAAGGGGCGTTATCCTCAGCACTGACCCTCCCTCCGTCTCGACGATCTGATAACGCAGACCGCGCACCCTCTTCTTGTTCCCGTACCATTCAAAAGTTGGGGCTGGGTCACCCGTCGCCTTGCAGTAGAACGTTGCAGCGCCTTCATCTATACCACTCTCGTCTGTCAGACCAAGTGTGATGACCGGTGGTGCTGTAAGGTGAGAGAATAAAAGGGAGATATATCGTCATTATTTTTTCGGGCTTATCATATAGGTCTAGATGTACATGTAGTCGTAACACTTATCATCAACACAACCGGCATCCGGTGACGGATCCAGGGGGGTCGCCCCCCCCCCCCCCCAGGCAAAAAGAAGAAGGAAAAAAAAGGGAAAGATTTTTTTGTGTGTGTGCTAAAGAAAGCACACACACACACACACAAACAGTGTTCCCCCTGACAAGGTGTAATGGGGGGGGGGGGGGGGCACTGAGCTTACTGTTAAGGGGGAGGGGGGTTTGGGGGAAATAAAATTCAAATGTGTTTTTTTTGTTTCTAATTCCCTAACGGTGGTTTACAAATAATGCTAAAATGACATAATTTTCTGAGAATTTTTCCAAGATTATTAGTAAATTATACTTTTGTATGCCTTTGTTTGAAAATGACAAATTCCTAAATATACATCCATGCAAGAAATATGCTTCTTGAGATGCCTACATGTCAGGGCACGCGAAACGGCGGGGATCGGGAGCCTCGAGCCCCCCCCCCCCCGACTTTTTCTTAAAAAGTATATTAGAGACAAATAGAAAGAAACAAAATAATGAGGTATCAAAATATGCTCAAACCGTCTCCCCAAAAACGCCGGCCAAAAAAAAAAAAAAAAAAAAGAGAGGAGAGAAAAGGAAGAGGATGTACTGTAGGAAGAAAATGAGCAGACAAAGAACATTTTTGAAATTCAGATAAGTAATTAAGAGTCGAGAACGGTACAGCGAATCGTCTTCTTTCTTTACTAACTTTAATAAAACGTCAAATCTTCCGATCTTCGCGCTGGAGGGGGGGGGGGGGGAGGGGACTGAATTTAGACAACCTAGAAGGAAAAACCAGTTACCACCAGTTGAAATTTCCAACTGGTTCCAGTTAACTTCAACTGGAACCAGTTAGATTCTAACTGGTCCATGATGCACATCAAGCGGATATTTGGTGCGACTGCATTTCATTTAACTGAAACCAGTCCTTATAATGACCAGTTACACCAGTTGATAACTGGTCTGTTTGCATACTTCCAGTTGCACCAGTTGATAACTGGTCTGTGCATGGCATATTTCCAGTTGCGCCAGTTGATAACTGGTCTGTGAGCATATTTCCAGTTGCACCAGTTGATAACTGGTCTGTGGGCATAGTTCCAGTTGATAACTGGTCTGTTAATTCCAACTGGACCAGTTAGAATTTGACCAGTTGAATTCCAACTGGACCAGTTAGAATTTGACCAGTTGAATTCCAACTGGACCAGTTAGAATTTGACCAGTTGAATTCCAACTGGACCAGTTAAAAATCTGACCAGTTGAATTCCAACTGGACCAGTTAAAAATCTGACCAGTTGAATTCCAACTGGACCAGTTAAAAATCTGACCAGTTAAATCCAACTGGTAACCCTGGAAATTGAAATGGGCTAGTTGAATTCTAACTGGTCTGAATGGTTCAGTTAGACCAGTTAAATCCAACTGGTAACCCTGGAAATTGAAATGGGCCAGTTGAATTCTAACTGGACCAGTTAGAATCTGACCAGTTGAATTCCAACTGGACCAGTTAGAATCTGACCAGTTGAATTCTAACTGGTCCAGTTGGATTTCAACTGGTCGAATTCTAACTGATCCAGTAAGAATTCAACTGGTCTGGTTCAACTGGCCCATTTCAATTTCCAGGGTTACCAGTTGGCTTTAACTGGTTTAACTGGACCAGTTGCAACTGGTTTTTCTTTCTGGGAAGGATTAAGAGTCGAGAACGCTACAACGAATCGCCTTTTTTCTCTAATAATTTAAGGAAACATCAAAGCTTCCGCGCTTCGGGAGGGGGGGGGGGGTGCAGAGGGGGGGGGGGTGGGAACTGAATTCAGACAAGGATTAAGAGTCGAGAATAGTAATACGAATCGTCTTCTTTCTCTAACGATTTAATGAAACGAAAAGCTTTCGCGCGGGAGGTGTGAAACTGAAATCAGACGAGAACGGTACAACGATTTTTTTTTCTTCTAATAATTTAATGAAACTCAAATTTGGGCCCCCCCCCCCTAAGAAATCCTGGATCCGCGCCTGCCAGCATCATCAAGATTTTCATCAATATCGATAGGCTCACCACTATGAATACAATCACCATAAAACAATGACCATGCAGCGTTTAGCCATGTGTTATTTCCGCTGTCAAGAACATCCTCCTCGATCATGTCCATCTAGGTAGTTTCAATTAAGGATATGGAATATATATCATTTCAACACCATATTTGTTTTGGGTTTATGAAAGTGATGCCTTTCATGAATATCCTCTTCTCTTTTCCCTTGTTTTGGTACAATAATTGTTAAAGTTCTTTTTGTGGCTTCCTCACACAAGCAAAGACACTACAGAAAGACACGTTATGTGCTAAGTACTGTGGTGAACAGGAATGGAAAGTAGTTTAGACTGCCCTGCAAGGTCACTGGACAGGTGGTTATCTCATCAACTCAGCTCTCAGTTAACATAAGAAAAAGAGGATCATGGGGACCAATGGTCACCGATTAGGCATTTTTTTATATAGAGAGGGCGCAAGTAGCTCCAAGTAGTGCAGTGGGCCTTTAAGTGGTTTTAAAAAGTAAAAGTTGAACAACAAGAGGTAAAAAGGAAAAGTTGTGCAATATACACACACAGAAAACAGGATCAAATGCTTTAAATCTGTGGTGAAGTGAAGCTGATTATGGTTCAGCTTTTTTCCGTGAAAATGACCCCAGACCTAATAGAGGACCGCTTTTGGGGGTTGGGCACAGGGTTGTTGATTTTTTTGATTTAAATCGGATTTTTATGATTTAAATCAGATTTTTTTGATTTTTTTCCAACGAAAAATAATGGTCACACTTAACAAGTTTTAGACTATATTTAAACTGTTTTACACCAATAATAGTGGTCAAGTAGTCTTTTGAACATTGTGTATTGTACTATTTGACACAATAATCCACTTATATACAGGTAATTTTTTTTTATTTTTTTTTATTTATTTGCATTATAGAGAGGGACATTTTATGGAAGCCCAAGTAATGTTATGTATTATGTATACATTTAAACTCTTGAAATTTTTATATCAGTCTGTACGTTAACATCTAATTTGAATGTAATATTTAACCAGATTTGCAGTAGGCACTTCCTGATATGCTTGTAACAAAATACACATTTTATGTTTTCATTACAGTGTAACCTCAGTTCCAAATAAAACTTCAATAAATTTCGTTGCAAGATGCAGGATAAGCACCACTGTCCACCACATCATTGATGTGCTGTTTTTTCAAACTATTACATGAACAAGCAAGCACAGCAGTTGTATTGCTGCATACAGTAACACTTGCCCAGCAACTTTCCCATTTTTAAATTCTTACTTATTAAGTATACATGTGTACTTTGAAATTGTGTAATTGAATGTATGGGTATTGATAAGAAAATACACAAGCATGCAAATATACATGTAATTCTTATCAAATGTACACATATGCCTTCAACTTAAGTAATTGAAAGAATGGGTATTAATAGTAACAAGAAGGAGGTACATACAAGTAGTTCAGCTGTTTTGTAAAAGTATCCAAGTTGTGGACTTTGAGCACCTTTGTAGATTTTATATATTATTTTATTGAAGATTTAACAGTTTGGTGTACATACAGAGAGTTATTTATCATTACTTTGTTAGAAACTTGTTGTTTTCATCAGTTTTGCTTGTTTTACAATTTGAAAATAAAACAGTGGTGTTAAATCAGACTCCATGAGGGTGTATCATTCTTTTAAAGTATCTCTAAAGCATGTGGAACAGAAATGAAAATGATTACATTGAAAGTATCTGTTAAGAAGAAGAGAAAATAGAGAAAACTATTTTTTTTTCATAAAAGTTGATTTAAATCAGTGATTTTTTGAAAAAAATCAAGTGATTTAAATCGCGATTTAAATCATGATTTAAATCGACATGATTTAAATCAAACAACCCTGGTTGGGCACAATGATAACCACTGTGCATTGCGCTGAGAGAAAAGAGAAAGTATTATGCATTTCAAGAGCTTCAAACACATAATGGATGTATTATTCATCATTCACCATATTGAAAGCAGTCATTTCAAGTTATCATGACTTGCTTCTCATGAAAGATATCGCATGTGTGTATTTCATAAGGGCTGCACCATTTCAGTTTGCTCTCTTGACTTGGTTATTCAGATTCAGTTTAAAATGCAATATTTATTCATTCCTACCAGAAATATAAAAGTTCATTTACATCAGCTGATAGAACATGGCATATCATATCACATGTCTGATTTCTATACGTTAAGTGGTAGTGGGACAACATAAAGGTCACATTATTGGATGATCATTTAAACAAATACAATTTAAACAAATACAATTCAAGGCAATTATCAGCAAACATTCTATGCAGATGACTCATATAAATATATATTTCCTGATAAAAAGGATGTGGTAATCGGAGGAAGATAGAACCTGCTGCCAAAGACCGTGACCCCAGGGGCGTCGCCACAGGGGGGGGGGTGGGGGGTGCGACACCCCTCCACCTGTCAGGATATTGTCGATAAAATTGCGCTGCCGTCGGGAAAAAAGGAAAAAGAGAGGGAAAGGGAAAGAAAAGAAAAAAGAAAAGGAAAAGAAAAGAAAGAAAGGAAAGAAAAGAGAAAGGAAAGAAAGAGAAAAAAGAAAAAGAGGGATAAGAGGAAAGAGAGGAAAATGAAGAAAAGGAAGGAAAAAAAAAAGGAAAAAAGAGAAAAGGGAAACAAAAGAAACGGGGGGTGAAGAGAGGAGAGAGGGGGGTAAGAGCCTGAGAAAGGAGGAGTGGGAGTAAAATAAAGGGAGGGGGTTGTCGGTGGAGTCGTCTCGTCAAGGAAGCAAGAAAGACATGGGTAAATATGTTGCTGTGTCGGGTCAGCTGTGTCGGTATTCTTGCTCGATCCTCGTGTACTACTGTATATATCAATGCAGAAGTTTGAAGTCGGTGAGATGTATATTGTCGGTCGGTCGACAAGTTTTTTTTCCCTACGAACTGTGACTTTTTATCCGCTGTGACGACTTCGAGAGTGACTACAACTACAATACTTGTATTTTCTCGAAGTTTCACTTTCCTATAATATCAGCTAAAGAAATCAGAGGTTTAAAATTTTCGGGGAAACTAATTCAAACAAGGATTAAGAGTCAACAACGGTACGACGAATCGTCTTCCTTTCTCTTTAGTTTGATGAAACGCCAAAATTTCCGCGCTTCGCGCGGGTGGAGAAAACTTCATTTAGACGAGTCGAGAAAATTACAACGAATCGTCTTCTTTCTCTCATAAATTTAAGGAAACGTCAAAGCTTCCGCGCTTCGGGCAAGGGAGGGAAACTGAATTCAGATAGAGCTTAATAAGAGTCGATAACGGTGCAACGAATCGTCTTCTTTCTATAATAATTAAATCAAACGTCTAAGCTTTTCGCGCTGAAAGGGGGAAACTGAATTCAGACAAGGATTAAGACTCGAACACGGTTCAACGAATCGTCTGCTTTTTCTCATAATTTAATGATACGTCAAGGGGGAGGGGGAGAAACTGAATTCAGACAAGGCTTAAGAGTCGAGCACTGTTCAACGAATCGTCTACTTTCTCTAATAATTTAATAAAACGCCATAACTTCCACGCTTCGCGCGGGAGGAGGAGTACCGAATTCATATAAGGATTAAGAGTCGAGAACAGTACACCAAATCGTCTGCTTTTTCTCATAATTTATGAAACGTCTAAAGCTTCCGCGCTTTGCGCGGGAGGGGGAGAAACTGAATTCAGACAAGGATTAACATTGAGAACGGTACAGCAAATCGTCTACATTTTATAATAATTTAATAAAACGTCAAAGCTTTCGCGCGGGAGGGGGGGGGGAACTTCATTCAGACAAGGATTAACAGTCGAGATCGGTACAATAAATCGTCTTCTTTTCCTAATAATTTAAGGAAACGTCTAAGCTTCCACGCTTCGTGCGGGAGGCTTAACACCGACACCCCCTAATGAGCGCGCTTCGCGTGCTCTTTAAGTGATTCGCTTGCTCACTACCGCCCCTCCCTAAAATAAGATCCTAGCTCCGCACCTGCATTAAAATATATAGCTTCGGTGTTGACTAAGTTGACGAAATATTCGTCTATTTATGTCGTCGAGGAAATGATCATTTGCGCATACGCAATTACTATAGATAGTCCATAGGAAAAACAATTTAGCCTTCGGCCCCGGGTTTATAGGGTTAAATTTGTAGATATTGGGGCATTTATTTTTGTCGGTAATTGGTGGCTAGTTTTGTCGGTAATCTTTGGCCTCTACACCCCCCCCCCCCCCCCCCCACTGAAAAAGGTCTAGCAACGCCCCTGCGTGACCCGATGTTTGAAGAGCGACAGAGAAATAGTGAAAAGCTGCACGCAATCAGGCTGAGCCTTGCACTCGCAACGAGAAAAGGCACAAAATTATGCTCAAGTGGAGGGTAATATATTATTTATGGAGCATGCGCTCAATCAGTTCAAACTCTCAGTCTTCTGTTCTTCTTACAAAAGCACTATTGATATGATCTATTTTTCGGCCATTAACTGCATCATCACCACTTTATATTTTTGTGACTTTGGTGAATCTCTGGGAATATTTCTCACACTTTGGGCTTCTGTTTTGTTGATCAGTATTCACGTACATTCTCAGTTATATACATAGACAGCGGAAATGGGAGTTATACCACTTCCATAACTGAAGGAGATGGACTTTAGACTTATGTGTAACAAACAACTTGGTCACCCCTCAGGAGAAATATATAAAATATTTTTATATTCTCTCTGGTCATGCGAAAATAAGTTTCTTCCCATCTGTTGATTTTTGGCAAGCCCTTCCATTTATGTCGCTTGCTTCATACATGATGTAAGAACAAAATAGTACATGTGCTGGTTAGGTTAGGGGGTCAGTGTGCACAAAAACAAACATAATCTATATCAGGGCTTGATATGAACATGGGTCTGGTGTACGAGGACCCCTAGATTTCTAGATCTCTGGACCACAAAATTTCAAACGTTGTCAGACTTCAGTATCTGCTACTGACTGTTTAATCAGAAGTAATAAATGGTTTGAAGTGATATGAACGGTTTCTGGTCTTAAGCCCCCATCACACCAAACTAGTTCTCACTACGTTCTGGAACCGTCCTACAAAATCGTAAAACGGGTTGTGGTCGGGGTCGAATGTGTAATACGATCCTAGTTCGTTCATAAACAGTCCTCAATACGTCCATCTCGTTCGTACCCCGCCCACAGCCAGTTCATTATTAAGTTCAGATCGGGTAGATTAGACAGTCCAAGCCAGTTCGTAGACGTAGTCAGTTTAAACCCACTATTAACTAGTTCTACCTCGTTCCCAATACGTCCAAACCCATTCTAACTAGCTCGCCACTTGTTATAACTAGTTTTTAACCCGACCACCCCGTTCAGAGGCAGTTCAACTCTTCCTCATCTCGTTCTGAGTGCGTTCGAACGCGCTCCTAGAGCGTGTGCAATCCCGTCCTGACTCGGGATAGTTATACGAACCCAGCGCGTTCTCGCCATTCCTCATTTCCGTTCAACTTCAACGCTTTAGGCTTTGCAGATCAAGACGTTCAAGTCAAGCACCTATCACACCAAACTAGTTCACACGACGATCTGGAAAATATTGCCGAACGGGCTCGAACTCCCGCCCCCCCCCCCCCACACACACACTCCGTGGTAGGAATGACCGCATGCGTGTTAGCAAAATGTCCGGTAAAGGGGTACTTTTCACGCACCAAAGTCCGGCTCGTACATACACAAACTTGACTTTACACACCGGACTTAGGGGGTGTTTTCAAAAGGAGGGAACACGCATATGCGTACCCTAAATAACACTGAGAGGGGGGCCGGGCTCGAACTATGTGTGAACGTATTAGCAACTATTTACGATCTTTTTAAGGACTTCATGGACGGGCTCGGACTGGCTTGGACGGGAAGGGTGGTCTAGAAATCTTTGCCTGTTCAAAATTCTACCCGTCCTGCAATTGGACGGAGTGACAACGTACTTAAAACGAGATGGACGTACTACGAACGGAATTGCCGTACTTCGATTCTACTAGGAACGTGTTACCACTTGATGTGGTCGAGGATCAAAGAGGAAGAACGCGTTGGGTTTGTATAGCACTCGAAAACACCTTTTTAACACCTGTCTGAAAACACTTTTTTAAATGGTGGTCAAAGTGACCATAAGTTCCGTGGTGATGATCTCGTAACTCAAACGGATTATTAATCTTAGGTGTGAATCTGTGATTTTTTAGGTGTGAACAATGATTTATTCTTGGGTGTATTGATGGTTTCATAGTTACCATTTAAGTTCCGTGGTGATAATCCCGTGACTGTTGGCATATTTCTATTTGCACCAGTTGATAACTGACTGTTGGCATATTTTCATTGCACCAGTTGATAACTGGCCTGTGTGCATATTTCCAGTTTCACCAGTTGATAACTGACTGTTGGCATATTTCCAGTTGAACCATTTGACACCAATTAATTTGCATATTGAATATGGGGTGCGTGCAGATCAATGTTTTTTTTTAAAACAATTTATCTGAATTTACAGCGTATTTCTTAATTACTGATGATTTTGTACTATATACAATTCATTTCGAAAATACTACAAATATAAATTACCAGTTATTAGGACATTTCGCTACTTCGTATAAATTACATTTAATTAAACATGAATAAGGGAAACATTAACTATGAACTGAAATAATTTCAATAAAATACAAGTATATGAAAAAAATTCGATTAATTAAATTATGTATGTCTACTTATTACAAATGCCTTTACATTGGAAATACAGACGTACCAGTATTGAAGTGTTGTTTCCGTTCAACTGGTTGGAAGTTTTACCCAATGGTTCTACTAATGGCTCAGCTAGACCAGTTGAATTCTAACTGGCCTGGATCAACTGGATCATTTAGCCCATTTCAATTTCCAGGGTTACCAGTTGGCATTAACTGGTTCATCAACTGGACCATTTACAACTAGCTTTTTCTTCTGGGATGTTTGCACCCCCCCCCCCCCTCCCCTCTCTAATCAAAAACTGCTTCCGGCGCGCCTGGACGTAATTATGGAAGATCCAAAACACGATGTTCAGAAACGGGATGAGAACGTCATTATTTGTATTCATTTATTGTGTAACATTTGCGTAATTATTGGGTTGAACGCGGGTTACAGTAACATATTTCCTCTTCGACGTAAATTTCACGTGAATGAAGAACATGATTCATCTCAAGTCAGCATCTTAATATTCACGTGAATTTCACGCAGATATTTTGACTAAAGCTATCACTAACGCTTCACGTGTTTCTGTGACGCGATTCTAAAACTTCTAAAGAAAGTGATAATTTCGTTTATGAAGATGTAATTTCATAACCAAACAAAAACGGGAGTATTAGGTTTACAAACCATGGTCTCCAAGGTAGGGATAATCACGTCATTATAATGGTGATATTCCAGTGACAATTGCGTGATTTAGTGTACGTGTTTTATAAGTGACCTAGTGCAAGAAACGTGTTAACACAATCACGTAAATGTCAAGTGTTTGAAGAACGTAAATCTGTTCCAGTCGATACCTTGATATTGACGTGATTTTCACGTGAATTTGTTTATTGGGTAGTACACCTGTTTAGATCATCCACACAAAACAAAACAAACACTCAACTCACGTACAGAGGATGCAACAACATTCTAATTTTGAACTTGTCAAAACGGGCAACTTGATCTTTGAAGCACTTGCTCGAATACCGAACTTAGTTGCTATAAAATACAATCCTATATGCACATCAAATGAAAAAATGTTTTGCTTGCCAATGTGACAGGCATGGCAAAGAATAGGAATATTTCATTGTTCTAGGGCAAGAGGGCAAGTTGATTTTGAAGCACCCTGTTATGATAAGATTGTCAACTTACATGCAGCAGACTGTCCAATGGTGAGAACGAGAACCGTGGCCAGCACCACCACTGCAACACAATCTATTTTCCACTGCTCCATGATTCAGATGTGTCAGATCAGTGCAGTGTGAATACACCTTGTCTTGTGATCACTGAATCAAAGAAAGGAATAAGAAAATATATCAATATGTATATTATCAAACTGTTAGTGTGAACACATCCTGATGTGCAAATAAAGCATCACAAAATGGCAGTGTGAAATGCACCATGTCATGTGATCACAGCATAAAATAAATTGGGAAAATAAATGGTCATTATCATAAAAATGCTAGTGTGAATAGAACCTGTTGCGTAAAAGAAGACATCATTAGATGGCAGCGTGAATGCACCTAGTTATCGCTCCATCATAGGAAAAAAGAAAAATGATATTGGTATTTCTTTTCAGAATGCAAGTGAGAACAGAGTTACTGTTGAGTAATAAAAAGCATCATGCATATCAAATTGATTTTATATCTATAATGCATGTATTGCACAATTTAAAAACAATCAATACAACAATGAAATCAAAACCCAGTGCTTACAGCAATACTGTAAAGAAACTTTTCATCAGTCAACTTCAGATTGTTTGAATCAACAGGCCCATCTTATTATCAGTGTAATGAAGAGACAGGGTGAAAACTGCTGGTGATTATCACAATGTGAATTGATGCAGCCTTTTAATCACTGCATCAAAGGGAGAAGTCCATGAAATTATGTCAATCACCCCTAAGGAATATTTTTCCAATAAATAAAAACAAACATAATTCTATCAGTGATTTCATCTCTATTATAGCACTTATGATGTCCCCTCCGTTAATCGCTTGAAATTATCCATGCACAAGCATGATATGACCCTGCCTTATCCGTAATAACACCTTTGGCAAGATCTTAACCTGCACTTGCTACTCTCCACCCAGGTGTTAAATGGGTACCCGGTAGGATGCGAACGTTCATGTGGTTGGACGAGCAAGTGTGCGCTTGTAAAATGGCGACTGGCTGGAATGCTCCCCAGGGAGTGGAAAATGTGCCCACATTGTGTGTGGGTAAGCCTGAATCCGATGACCGGGGTAATAATATATATGTAAAGCGCTTAGGCACATCGTTGGATCGGTGTATTGAGCGCTATATAAAAAACAGATTATTATTATTATTATGAAATAAACACATTACCTCAATGCAGAAATAATCTCAACTGCAATTCAGTTTACACACGAAAAAGAAAAGAACACTATGCACAAAATAAGAAAGAAATCACTAGTGCAGATAGTACAACGTTGTGTATTATGACAGCTAGTACAATCCCTGAAAGAAGCCCCACAATTTCCTGACTTCACAACTTTGTCTTTTGCGATCTGTATCCAGTGATTAAGTGTAAAAAGTCACGGTCATTACTTATACAGCAGTGTCGTTCGGCACTATATATAAATGGTATTCAGTGATGTATGTGCAACCTTGCTTCCTGGTAGCTAAAAATAAAATAGAGTTATGTTGTGTGATAAGTGCATGAACGCGCAAAACACACACCCACACATATAGTATAGTATTAAGACAATACTCAATAGTGCAATAACCTATATTTTTAATGTTCATCATACAGTGTGTTGGTGTGTATGGGAGAGAGTGTACATGTATGTGTGAATGCAAATTATTTCCCTTTTTCTTCATTTTATACAAAATAAATAATTTAATTAATGTACTACAGGTTATTATACAAATACTGGAGACAGACTTTTACATAACGCCCGGCCTTCCTGTCTAGTCTCCAAATACTCTCATTAATGTACATGTTTTTAAAAAATTCAAAATTCATCTACCGGTATTGGATTTAAGCACATGAAAACTTTACAATTCTCTGAAGTTAGGACACTGATGGAGGTATTTACACAAAGAATCTAATCGGTGGATCTCATTGGGTTTGACCCATTTTTTTCTCTCAAGAGGGTTTCTAGGACACCTAGCCCCTGGACAGCCACCCCGGATAACCCACCCCCAGTCAACAGCCCCCTAGGACAACTACCCCCCCCCCCCCCAGACAACTACCCCCAGACAACAAACCCCCTACGACAACCATCATCTAGGACAACTACCCCCGGACAACTATCCTAGGGGATAGTTGTCTGGGGGTAGCGGTACGTGGATAGTTGTCCCAGGGAGAGGGTGGTTGCCCAAGGTGGTAGTTGTCCTAGGGGGTAGTTGTCCGGGGGTGGGTTATCCGGGGGGGGGGGTGGTTATCCGGGGGTGGATGTCATGCGGATAGGTGTTCGGATACACTCTAATCATCATCAAGAAACATGATAACTTTCATCATTTCACCGAGAGATGCATTAAATGAACACTCAACACGTGGATTATTCAAGAGTACTTTCAAAATGGAAAAGACCTCCCCCATGGGGTTCTTCCGTCAGAATATGATGAACTTGGAAAGTAACAGAGCAGACCACATAAGCAATCAAGGGGGTTTCAGAGGGGAGGAAGGGGGTACATGTGTGTTTTCCAACAAAATTATAGTGACAGGGATAGCCTGGCTTCAAGACAAGATAGATCATTTCAGATTAAATTCAGATTATTTATTTTGCTCCTAGTAAATGAGACTGAGTAAAACAAGTCCACTCCAAAAATAACTTACTTTTAATAGAAGCAGAAAAATCAGACAAACCAATCAAAAAAAGTTTGAGCAAAATCTGATAACTAATAAGAAAGTTATGAATTTTTGGAAAAGTATGTAAAACTATGGAACAATGAAAATCACTACACAAATTGCCAATTTGGTTATCAGTTTGTGACGTCATGTCCTCACTATTTATCAATTGCTTTATGTAGTTTAATCCCAATAATTTCCCTTTTTATCCCCCAAAACTTGATTTCCCCATGCCGTAGCCCAGGTTATATGTTTTGTATCATATTGCGTGCATGACATTTCACAAAATCTTTTATGAACTTTAAAGAATCTATACTATTTTCTGAATATTTTATATTCATAATTATTGATTGTTATATTAATAGTTTATCAAAATTCACATTTTTCATGATTTAACTGGAAAAATTACTCTTTTGACTATATTAGTGCATCCGCACAAAAACATATTACTATCAATCTAACTTGGATGCTGGTGTGAAGAAATAATCTTGCTAAAAACATTCCGCCTTCAAACAAAAATTTGTGGAGTTTTTAGGCCTTCACAATCCAAATACTATTTTCCTTGTTCCAACTAATAGGCAAGAAATTATGAAAATTGTTTCTTATCTGAAAGATAAGAAAAGTTCGGGAAAAGATGGAATTAATAATGTCATACTAAATTCCATTATTCCCTTTACTGTAGATCCATTGGTTCAAATCTTTAATATATCACTTCTAAATGGTCAATTTCCTAATTCTATGAGAATAGCCAAAATTATTGCGTTATTTAAAAAGGGAGATAAACTGGATGTTGGTAACTGCCGCTCGATTTCTTTATTATCTTCATTTTCTAAAGTTTTCGAAAGAATAATCCATATCCAGATGATCTCTTTTTTGAAGAAATATGATTTATTTTCAACTTCCAGTTTGGTTTTAGAGAAAAGCACAGCACCGTTCATGCTTTAATATCTTTTGTTGAGAAGGTTGCCCACGCAATTGATACATCGTCACACACTGTATGTATATTCCTGGACTTCTCCAGGGCCTTTGACACGATCAATCACGAAATTTTACTTTACAAACTATCTCACTATGGTGTACGTGGAAAGGCCTTGCAGTGATTACCTCTCTAACAGACAGCAATTTGTACACTTAAACGAGCATGCATCTGAATTATGCAATGGTGTCCCACAAGGTAGTCTGCTAGGCCCGCTACTCTTTATTCTTTATATAAATGATTTTTGTAAATCATCTAACTCAATGTCGTTTATTTATTTGCAGATGATACTAATTTATCTTTTTCACACAAAAATCCAAACATCCTGGTTGATAAAATCAATGCCGAGTTATTAAATATATTGCAATGGATACTAGCAAATAAAGTGTCACTTAATCTCCACAAAACGAGCTACATGCTATTTAGCCAGGATTTTATTTTAGGGGCGGTAGTGACCACGCGAAGCGCGCTCCCTAGGGGGTGGGTGTAGGGAGGGGGAGTCCCCCCCCCCCCCACCCCACGTCAAGCTACTTTGCTTATTTCTGTAGCCCTCCTGCATCTAATGTATGTTAATTGTGCATTCAATATATTTGTTTAAATTCAATATATTTGTTTAATATCGTTTATTATCTGTAATCAAGCCATATTATGTTCATGAAAATGTATGATGAAAAAAAGAAAAAAGATGCAGAAACCAATAAATCAAATCAAATCAAACCCCCGCGCAAAGCGCGAAAGCTTTGACGTTTCATTAAATTATTAGAGAAAGGAGACGAATGGGCCTGGGAAGACAAATGTGTATTTTTACATTTTTTAACGTTAATTTTACCTTTTTTGGAGATCCCCCCCCCCTGGCGCTCAAGGGGGGGGGTGCAGGTTTTCAACCTTTCGAGGACCCCAAAAACCAAAGAAAAGACCTCTCCATTTCCAATGTCAAGTCATATAAACAAGATATGCCGTTCTGCTGCTTATGGGCTACATAAGATTGGAAAGATAAGGCGTTACCTTGATCATGATACTACAGAGAGACTTGTGCACGCTTTTGTAATTAGCCATATTGATAGCTGTAATGGTTTATTGTTCGGTCTGCCTGATACACTGATTTGTAGACTGCAGCGAATACAAAATTCTGCTGCCAGGCTTATCACTAGAACACATTCACGAGTGTCAGTTTCCCTAATACTTCGTAATTTACATTGGCTTCCAGTTAAAGATAGATTAATATTTAAACTTCTTGTAATGTCAGCATAAATTGGCTCCTCTCTACTTACAACAGCTTCTCAATGAGTATCATCCAATTAGGCAGCTTCGTCCTAATTCCAGACAGTTGTTTGTCCCCCTTATACAGTATCTACAATATGATATTTCCACATGCAGTCCCTCAACTATGGAACAAATTCCTAGTAATATCAAAGAATGTATTCTCTTGACCTATTTAAGCCTCTGTTTAAAGTCTT